TAAAGTGGCTATGATTGTGAAAAACAGTACGAATTTTTACGCAAGGGATTTTCGATACTTTCGATTATAGTAATAACTGGGTGAGTAGTATTGCGAACAATTTATAAAATTATTTCCCATTTGAATAACATTAAATATTCTATTGACTCAAAGAAGTATCTCACGAGCGGATGTACCTATTTCAACAATAGCCTTGAGTGGATTATGGTTCAGGTTGAAACAGCTTTACAAGTGCACTGGATGCCCTAAATATCCATACCACCAAAACTGGTGTATTCTTCAACAATACGCATCATTTTGATCCATTTCTTGCCCTCGTTGCAAGTGAAACTGTAACACCACAAACAACAACGGAAACTTTCTTAAATTAACTAATGGCTTCATACAACCAATGATCTTCGAAATGAACGAGAGCACGTGAATGAAAGTATTCTCCCCCCGCTGGGTTTTTTCTCATCCCTTGGAGAATCCAACCACTCGCAAGGCATGTATTCGGACGCGGTCGCGCGAGAAAAAGAACGAGAGAGCAGCTGCTGAGAATAACGAAACGTATACCCACGTGTGCGAGGGACTTTACGTATTAGTTAAGTATAAGAGCCTGCGGTGCTCTCTAATCACCAAAGAAACCAGGGGCTTTTAAACTCCTCATTCGGAAATAAGTAAAGCCCTCGTGAGTAGCCGTGGCGCCGAGATCCTCCATTACAATAATGAATGCTTCAAAGGGGATGGGAAAAAAAAAGAGAAGATAAGTCGAGACGCGATGAGCTTCTGAGAGATTTGAGGCCTTTTCTCGCACGATGTTTCAGGTACGAGGACGCGTGTGTGCGAAGTACACAAGCCCTAATTAACGAGCATCCACTTTGCCGGGAGACCAAGAACGGAAGAATCAGCTAATGTTTTCATTCGTGTGAACTTTTGTTTACTTGTCTTTGGATCTCTTGTTTGCGCGATAAAAAGTATTTAGTTGGATTTTCATACCATGAAATGACATAGTATGCCGGACTTTCCAAACTCTTTTTGACCAAAGTGAAATATTGCGTTATTGTAATGTAAGCTGAAAAGTAATTCGAAGGTACTGAAAGGACAAGGAAATTAATAACGTTTGTTTGGAAGTGAGAAGTTGGGAAGAGTTGCGTGGCATAATTCACTTGGAAGAAAATGTGACGAGTAGACGGGAGATAAGGCGATTTCGACGTTTCTCATGTTCAAAGTGAAGCTGCCCGGGTTCATCAGTGGTACGGAAAGGGAGGGGCCTGCCCGTGCATCTGTCGTCATGCATAATTGACTTGTTCACTCGAGAAAAGAGAAAAAAAGAGACATAATGAGATCTTGTTCCGTTTGGTCTGTTTATAGGGGCCCTTCCTGCGCTCGCCGACTGGAGCCCTCTTTTTTTCCCTCCACCTCGAGCAATACGGCCACAAGAACGAGAGAAAGAGAAACGGAGCTCAAAGGGTTGCGCTCGCGAGAATCGGGGCTACGCGTAGTAAGTAAATTATCCGGGCTCGTGCACAGGCTGAGTACTCTCGTTTCTTTCAGCGTCGTTTCGCGCGTGACGTGGAGTTGCCTCGGGCTTCATCAAGCATGCGAGAGAGAAGACAGAGTCGAAAGGATCTTACGTGCGAGGGAAGAGCTGTCGCTGACTGCCACTCGTGCAATTGGGGCTGCAGCTGCGAGAGTCTCGCGTTGGGCGATGATGGAGATTTTTCGAGCTCTTCTCCCGTCCCTCTGGTCGGGTGATGCTGTTTACAGGGATTTTTTGAGAGTAGGGGTTTCTTTTGTAAAATTAAGATCTTTTTTTTCGTGCGTGATGTTTGATGAGAAAGAATGTGGTTGAAGAAGGACGTGTTACATTATCTATTTTTTCAGAAAATAGGAGGTTACGGTTAGTGCACAAGAGTCTCGTAATTTTCAATTGAATTTTCATAGAGTTACTTAAACTGCACATCAAGGTGCCTACTTCACGTAAGGGAGAGATTTTAGTCAGAACTTTTTCGAACCGAAGCTGATGCTCGGCTTTTCGTTTATCAATCACGTGTTTAATGATGTATGGTGCATGTCTATGGCTCTTTGTATAGGTGATGGCTGTTATTTTTCGTTGTGGGAAAATATTTTATGTGAGTTCGGGAAACACTTCTCGACCTTTAACCTTTTTTGGAAAGATTTTAACTATCAATATTACAGTAGATAAAATTGAGAATTTCTAGGCTAGTAAGCCAAAATTACATTGTGCTTTCATTCTTGATTATTGTGCGTAAAAATAGTTCTTCATTTATTCATTGAAGACGCATATTTGTCATCTGAATTTTTGATACAAGTATTGAAAGATAGTACAAAAATAATTTCTGAAATTCTTAAATTGTTATCCACCGTAAGAGTTTTTTTGTTTTTGAAATAGAAGAAAGCTTAGATACACAGAATAAAAAAATACTATCATTACAAAGTGCCTTTTTAATTGTCCAAAATGAGAGAAATAGGTCTGTCACTCGTTTGTTGAGATATCAAGAATAGTTTCACTTGATAATTTTTTTTCTTGATTATTTAATCAGAAAAAAATACTCGTTTAATCCCATTAGTTACACATTTCACCCCCCCCCCCCAAGTTAAATATTGTTTGTACCACGAAATGCAAGTTTACTTTCTAAATACTTTGTTATTTAGTTTCTGTTATTAACTCAGGGACTATTCCATCATGGTAGATAATTTTTTATTTGATTACAGGGGCACTACATATAAGGTAGCTTTAAATTTGTTCACTGTCAAGGCTTTGTGAGATTTCAAATATCTTTTAGCCTTGTTTTTTCATCTCAAACTAATTAGCGCTGTTAATTTATTTAAATGATACTTCCATTAATCATTTTCTGTTACTTTTATTCATGACTTTCTCAAGTAAAACAGAAATTCGATTTTTTTTGTATTCGATGTACTCACAAGCTTTTATCTTCAACTTCTATACTTCTGATCTTACGTACATTTTTTCCTCGATTTTCGCAACATTAATGATGCTTTAACTAAATATTTTGCTTGAACTAAAAGTTCCAAATTAATATGCGCAAGGGTGAACTTGTTTGCTTTCCAAAGAAAAACGTAAGTTCTACCTGTTGGTATTGTTTTTAAAACATTTCAGTGTTTTAATAGTACATTACTTATCTAGGGAGAAAAAATATAGAAAGTCTTAAACCACAGGCATTTGGTAAGAATGTGATTTGAGGTTTTCTTTATTTCCTCCCGTGGATTGTATACAATTTTTCACCAATTCTACGCTGAGAGACATAATTTTCTTCTCGTAGAGTGGAAGGAAAGTTCCTTCTTTCGGCGCAGTTTATAGCGACCATTCATTTTTTATTTAATAGCTAATCAGCTTCTCTTATAGCTATTTACTCATAAAATAAATAATGAAAGCCACGCTAAAATTAAAATGACCATTTTAACTTAGAATTCATATAAATTTGGATCGATCACGTTTGAATGAAATCTAAATCAGTTGCATGTACTCAAATATACACAAAGATTACTATCAGAGTAAATCTCGTAAATTTCTTCAGGTTATAAATACTTAAAAATTTAGGTATGCATTATATGCTTCAAACTCCACACGTTAATCAAAGTTTCTGTTTTCAAAAAGATGGAAATCTTTACAATGTTCCCATTGGCTTTTAGTTATAATACTGATTTCAAAACAAATGGCTACCCGGAATACTAGGACAGGCTTGTAGCCAAAAGTTAAATCTTTATTAAAACTTGCTGCCTAGCCAAATTAATTGTGTACTTGTAAAATTTCCCCAAATTAAAAAAAAAAATCTATAGAATTTTAATTCATTTCTGTGAATAAAATTACATAGGGCAGATAACCCGGGCAGATCATGAAATTTTTTGAGGGAGTCGTGAGCTGGGCGCACATGCATACAAATAAAACTTCAATTAAAAAAAGTATCTGATAAAGTTTTTGAAATCGGAGATTTATGTAAATTGCATTGTTTATTCGTAAATCTTGAGAATACATCTAGAAAGTTTTAAATCCCAGTTTTCGATAAAAATGTTAGAGAGACAATTTTGTGAAGAACTGTCGTACTGCAGCACGTACTTAGGTATGTTTTTTTAAACTTTTCTTTTATCATAAGCATCCACCTGGTACATTCTCATACTTAAACTATTTTGTGAGCTTTTTTTTTTCTTGTCATTTTTTCCCAGATCTGATAAGTAATTTAAGTTTAATTCGCATTTAATGTGCGAAAATAAATGATTTTCCATGAGTACTGTGTTCCACATAATATAAAGTTCTCCATTGGTTGAATTCCAAGTATCGTACAATTTTTATTCACGAAAAGTTAATGATGGTATATATTTCATTATGACTGAGCAAAACATTTTCTATTTATTTTCTCATTCTGCGAAACTTTTACCTAAAATTTTTCATGACATAGATAAAAGTTTTTCGTGAACTATCAAATTCATGTTACGCAACTATTTAGTAAAATATAATCCATTTACTTGCTACCTTTGTTTATTACAATTTATGCGAGGCTGCATCGACTAATATTTAGTATTACCATCATATGCAGTGTGCACTGATAATAAATGCAAGACTCAAATATCAACATTGATTTTTGTTAATTTGTACCTTCGTCAATATGTAGAGGTAAAATTTGCCAAGTATAATCCTGATATAAAAATAAAATGTAATTTCTGATTATTTCTAAGTTTTCTTAATGAGTGTATGTAAAAAAATAAATACAAAAAGAAAAAAACAAAAACAAGTAAACATCTCTTCATTAGTCAACGCGTGTACTGTGGCATCCGATCACCTTCCGCGAATCCTAGCCTCTTTTACCCGAACCATTCAAAATTACACGGTGCGACCCCCCGAATTTCGCGAACAAGAAAATATTTAAAAAACGCAAAAAAAAAAAAAAAAAAGAAAAAAGTAAAAAGTAAAAACTGCGTAGCAGTATAAGCTTAGTCAAAGCAGTTAGAAATCCCTAGTCCAGCAAATTCTAGGCCAAATGGAGAAACCGAGCCCGCAAGAGGCAAAAAGCAGTGGCAAGTCCAGCCGGGAGGCCAGACCCGAGTTCTCCCCAATGGGCTCTGGCCGCGGCACGTGGGCTCGACTCCCACAGCAGCCCGAGCCCCCGAAATTCTACAGCCGGAGCTACTTGAAGCGGTACAATCACAGCGCTAAGGTTAGGAGCTCGCGGGTGCCCGGCAAAAAGTGCCCCGACGAGCAGGCCAACGACCCACCGGCTGTCGGTCAGAAGTACGGGTATTTACTTTTTACCCCCCCCTCCCCTCCCCTCTTTGGCCGAAAATAGCTTACCAAGACGACTCTGGTGGCTCGCTCTTGCTTGGCTTTTCAAACTTGGTCCGCTGCAGTGGAGACGTCACGCGTGTACAAAACAACGACTACGTGTGCTTGCAGCCGCTGGGAGCTTTTCCCGAGTTCTCTCTCCCCCCCCCCATCTCTCTCTTTGTGCTTTTTGCCACGCGAGCTGATATAAATGGGAGAAAGATCGCCGGTCTGAAGTCTGGTTGGCATTTCAACGAGGCGCAGAGGCTAAACGGCCAGCGTTTATCGAGTCGATATTTGGTCCTCGGTACGAAACATTGGGTCTTTCTTTCGCTGAGAATTGGAAAATGTTGGCTGGTCATGGCTATCTTTTGTCAATTTCGCTGTCAAAGGAATTAATTATTATATTTTGAATAATGTAAAAATCAACACCACTTGAAAATTATATAAGCTTACGATTGGGCCAGAAGTGAGATAATTTCTCTTTTCAATGAGTAATACTGTCACAGTATGAAAAATTAAATATCAAATCTAGGGGGAACAAAGTGTGATATTTAGATGAACGTGTATTTTGTTGGTTCTTTTACATAAAGTATAATATTTACACAAGATCTCAAAGTATCCGACCATTGGCGTCTTTTTTCCATGAATATACTCTTGTGATACGAGGTGCCATTTTGCAAGCATTACCTCGTAAATCACATACAAATGCATATGATTTGCATATTTTAATGAATCACATGTCCAAATTATACTTTGAACTTTTGCTAGTTTGACTTAAAACATCTCTATTATCCCATCCAGTGGTACTTTGAGTTAATAAAACATGCTGAGTTGGGCACTTTGAAATGTCAAGTGTTGAAAACAATTTCCCTAGTGTCTAATTTATCCGTTACCCCCGTTCAGCCCACAGCCGCACGAAGTCGGGGTCAAAGTTTTTATCTTTTCATCTGCCCATCTCAACGTTCGATCCAGTGCAAATCAAAGAGAGAGGAGGGGTGGGGGGCAAAAAGCGTAACAATTACCAAAGTCCAAAGCCCGCGAAATTTTCCACCCCCGGATCCCTCAACTGTTCGACCCACCGAAGCGCGAAATAAAAGCACCCGATTCGCAGTTCGCAGGCCAATAATCCGGTCGAGTTACCAATTCCGTCGGAAGCCCCGGTAACGAGCGTCTCCTGTGCCCCATTGGCGAGCCAAGCGGTCGGGGCAGCGGTGGACATCAGCAAAAAAGAGAGCCCTTGCGGTCGCGGTGGCACAGGAGCTCCGAGGCAGTCGAGGGAGCAGGACTACCGCTACAGTCTCGCGAGCGCCATGTCCTCGATAAAAACGAGCTACTTCAAGACCGATGCTGCCCCATACTTCGACGAGTCGCAGTTCAACGAGGCACGGCTGCTCGTGGCCGCCGAGGACGAGCAGTTCTGCGAGAGTTTCCGGAAAATCAAGACCATAGTCGACGAAGCCGTTAAGGTACATTTTGTTTCGATGCGTCGGTGCGTGTGAGTAGATGGTCAAGCAACAAATCTTGACTTGACTAGTTGTGTTTCTGGTAATGCTGGAAAATCAAACGATTTTGAAGAATTTTCTTTTCATCAACAACAAAATTACATAAAAAAAGGCCAATAATATAATAGAAAAATTATCCATAAACAACTACGGAAACCATTCAATTCTATCATTACATATTTTTCGTTGCATGAAAAAGTGTTGTTCAGAAAATTAATGCAATAATTTTTAGAGCTGTGTTCATTAAACATTTCAATTAAAAATGAAAAAATTAATTGTATGTGCGATTAATTCAATCTATGTGATTTATATTCCATAACTTTGATAATTAAAAATAATTAACTACCTCAAAATCGCCATTACAAACTAATTGAAAATATTTTGATGATACCTTTAATAAACAACTTTCAATTCATAAAATGTGAAAAATAAAATCATGTGTTATCGAATTACAAAGTACTGACAGATGTTTACTGAAACACTGGATAAACTCGAAGCTCATGACATTTAAAATGTCGGTTAAAACATTTCCGATACGTAAACGTTTTAGATCTTTCAAATTTTCAATGCATCATTCATCTAATAGTACAAGAGCTAATGTATCAGTGTACAAACTCTGACATTCAAGAAATTCTCAATCACATGAAAAATCATTGTAACCTCTCTAAATTAAATTTTAAGATTTACTAAAGACGTATTGTACACAACTGTGTCTCTAAAAACTATTTCCAAAAAGTGGAATACAATTTTTTTTTCTTTCATAAAATAGCCATGTTGAGTACAAGAAAAAGTGAGAAATAAAGAAAAAGTTCCAGACCTCACAATAAATTAATACACATTTGTTTGCCCTTGCATTCTTACTTTCAACTGCCTTAAAACTCACATATCACCCAAAAAAAAAAAAAAAAAATACAAAGTTTATTATTCCCAACAAGTGGGTATGCCCAATTAGGTTTCAATTTCCCGTAGTTTTGAAGCCACATAAGCATGACCCAATGCGCATTGGTTACCTCGTCTCTAGCTCGACCAAAGCTCCAAAGTAAACCCAACCGAGCGCCAAATCGAATCTCAAAAACCTCCCTCCCGTTTGACTCACGTGAGCTCGCTCGCTTTATTACACACACAAGCATCCACCCGCCCAACCCAACAATAGCCGTCCAGCACCATGGAATAAAAAACCACACCACGAGCTAACAAGCGAAATTTCTTTTGCCCGACGATCAGAAGCACCGGGTATTCCTGATACGGGGCGAACTGCCGAGGCTGAAGGAGGTCCTCGAGGAGCGCGGCTGGGTCCAGAAGTACGAGCCGAGCAGGACGAGATCGCTACCCTACGGTTAGTCCATACATGCATATTATGCCCATTCTCCAGGGGGGCCGTGAAAGGAAACCACCCGCGTGTTGTGCTCGCAAGCATATACTTTTCTTTTTTTTCCTTTCCGTCAGGCAAATATGACATTGTTGGTCGAGAGCGGGGGTTTTTTTGCGAAGAGTCCCTGGAGCGACTCTTCGAGGGGTTGAGGAAAAAGTTAGATTTCTCAGAGGTCCGTATGCGCACGGGCTTGTTTGCACCTTTGCCATGGGTTATTACGGGATAGGGATTTGTCAGCGAAACTCTAGCTTTTACGAAAGGTTATTGCGTGGCTATCGTTTCATCTCCATATGGGATGTACACTTGAAGTGGATGAACGAGTGAAATATTTAACTAAGGTTTTTTCAGGCCTTTCATCAAGTAGTTGTATATACGGATCGTGTGTGCAAACACTTTCTTTGACTGGTCTTATTAAGTTTGTTCAAATACGTATAGACGCGCTTGAGCTCTGGGTATGCTTATCATGCCAACTGGAGCAATTTAAAATTTATAAGTTTAAAACGAGTTTCACCAATGGTATTAAATGTAGCTTGTATTTTTGTTTTTGCAGCGTAAAGGGGATTTTATTGGGTTGCTCGTTATACGCTTTATTAATAATCCAGTTCAAGCTAAAAGTTTTATTTTTGCGCTGTTGTTTACCAAATTAGTTGAAAGGGTATAATTTATTGGGACACCCTTTGGATTTGGAGTTGATTACGTGTCGAGTGTAAAAGGGTCTAGAATATTTTTGTCGTCGAAAGTTAATTTTTCAGAAAAATTAGTGGGAATTGAGTGTATTTCAAAAAATAATTTATACAAAGACTAGACTAGGGTTTATAGATATGGTAAAAGAAAAGGCTGAATTTTCCGATAAATTAGTTTGGGATATGCGAATTTTATAGTGTCATTTAACAATGTCTCTGAGTATAAGTCTTATGAGAATAATTATATATGTAAAAAAAGGAAATTGATTTAAAAAATGATTTCAGTTAACACAGAATTAGAAATGAACTAGAACTTTCATTGCACGAAATTTATACAAAATCGTCATTATATCGTAGGTTTAATGAAAAAGAAAATCTTGACAATCTTGTGATGTATGTAACTAAAATTTTTTTAGAGCAGCTTACCAAGAGTATTCAAGTACTTAAGCCCTACGACGTCAGCTTCTTATTTTAATCTTAAAAACTTTCATCCAAATCACTAGAATTAAAAAAAAAGTAATCTGTGAGGGTAAATTGGTAAAAAAAATTTGAGTCTTGGAATAACAGAGTAGACAAATTTTTAGATCAATGACTGTAAAAACTTGTGGTTGTTAAGTTTAGACCACGAGACTGTACTGATTCTGTTTTTCGGTACGTATTTGTGATACCATGACAATGCGTGGTTGAAGTACAATCAAAGCTTTAGGACTCATAACTAACTTCCAAGGACTTTCTCGTTCAAAGAATGTGTTGAATTTTTTTTTCGTGTGTCATATACGTGTATGCAACTTGAAGTTGTATCAAAGGGTTCATTAACATTATGATTTCTTTTTTTTTCTATCTCGAAACTTGTTGTTCCATTACATTCTATGTTTTTTTTTTCAAGATCACCAGAAAAAAATTGTCTCAAATTTGTTCCTTAGAAATGGCAAATTTTTTCATGTAAAATACATCATAAAACCAGGTATTGCGTAAATTGATATTTGAGCCACTTTTACCTTAACTTGATTTAAACTCAAAAAATTAAAAAATCAATAATAAAAAATGACCACCAAAGACATAAAACGGCCCTTCTATGACTAACGCCAGACAGTACAACGACCCTGGAGTCTAGGTCACTGGGTGACCTGCGCCTGCCGGACGGCTCACCGAACGAGCGCGCGTTGGTCTTTGGGTTACTTCGCCACGTGCAGCCCGACTTTATCTGGGACTGCCGCAACGATTTCATCGAGTGGGATCGGAACATTGCCGGCAACGTGCTGCTCAACAGATTCCAGAAGCCTGGCCTCTATACCTCCAAGGTAGGACAAATATAGGTTGTAATTTAACACCACTCATCATTTTATTTATGAGAATTAATTTTAAATCCTCAAAAACACTATCACTGCTTAAAATTATTCAAGAACGAGTGTTTATTTCACGGCTATGGTAGTGATTCTGAACACACAAAAACATGTATTCCTAATACAAGGACGTATGGAAAAACTACAAATTGTATAAAACAGAGAGACATAAATTTTGTTTTTCATCCTTTAAAATAAAACAATCTTAGATGGTCGACCAAAGAGAGAAAATGAAATTTCACGTTCCACCGATACCTCGATAACCATAAAACTAACTTGTTCTAAATTAACCTTATAGGACAGAAGGGTAGAAAGAAAAGAGATCGCAACGATACTTTTGGACCGTTAGCCACACAAAAAAAAAANTAATGAGTGTATCAGTCACATTAGTCAGAACCTGCTGTAACCACAAAATAGCATATCTAACATGAGTCTGATAAAATGTTTTCAAATAAAAGAGCGTTTTTTATGTGATAGTTATCATTTTTAAGGTATTTTTTAACATCCTTATAAAGTTGATATCCTAACTTGTTCTAAATTAACCTTATAGGACAGAAGGGTAGAAAGAAAAGAGATCGCAACGATACTTTTGGACCGTTAGCCACACAAAAAAAAAAAAAAAAAAAACCAAACGGCTTTTAGACCCGATACACGTATCCTCCCGCGGCACATACGCACGGGTTAAAAATAACAGTCACTCGAGGCCATTCTCACGTACACGCTACGTTCCCACGTGCGTTTCTCCCTCAAGCTGTGCCGAGCTTCTCTAAAAGTCCTCCCCTGCAACCCCCTCGTTCCAACGCAGCTAGGCATGGCCCATATACTGCAAGAGGCGCACTGGCTCCACGAGACGGACGTCGCGGACGTGCTCTTCCCCCGCAGCTACAACCCGAGCCGCGAGCTCGCGGCCCTCAGTCGAGACTTCCGGCGTTGCGCGGCCGTTGCTCTGCTCAGGTGGTTCGTCGAGCGCGTGAGGAACGACATCGAGGAGGTGATTTCTTCTCTTAATTGCGCTTCTCATGTTCTACTTTAATTTGTTCAACCTTTTTTCTCAATTAAGAGTGCCTACAATATGTGTTGGAAAGAACAACTCTTTTTGTTTTTACTTGCTCGGTTCCTCCGGTTAAAATCAATTTAGTATTCGTATTCGCGTTGCTCTTTGGTACTTTAATTCGATTTGCTCCGTTAATGACTGAAATTCTACGATATTTAAAAAATGAAGACTAATATACCACGAAACATGTGATTTTTTCCCTAGCAGTACACAACGCTTAACAAACGTTTAAAAAATTTCATGAACTAAATTTAACAGTGTTTTTAAACAATTCAAAGAAAAACTATAACTCGTACCGAAAGGTATCTACTAATTTTGTTATTAAAAATTACTTTATCATTTCTTACACGCTATTTCATACATGTGAAATATAAACATTTTTAGGTGTTTGAATTATTGTTAAATTACTCTTAAATAATTAAAGGCCTTTACTTGTCATTCAGATGGTAACATAATATACTTGGCAAACCCGTAACAACCTAATCGGTACGCAAGGATTTACATAAAGTAAAAAGCAGAGTATATATCTTCAATGTTACTGAAATATACTTATACAACGTTTGTTTGGATTTTAAAAACTTATTTTTTAAATGAAATTATTTTTTTTTTAGAAAGGCTACTATCTAAAAAATAAACTATCATTTAAATAGTTTATTAATTTATCAAAATATACTACTTCCTATGCAATATTTTTAAATAAATTACAAAAAGCATTTATATTTTTATACATAAAATGAATCGAAATATTTTTTCTACCCAACAAAAGTGTCCTTTCGTAACACATCTGCGCATCAAAATGAGTATTTATGCATCTCAGTAGTGATGGTTTTTAAATCACTCAAAAATAAGTATTCGCAAAACCCATCCATCTGCTGGGATAGAAGACCCTGTAAAATGAGATTTCGTATGAAAAACGCGCATAAATACCCCTTTTGATAAAAAAAAAGAAAAAAAAGAAAGAAAGAAAAAACAAATCTCGAAAGGACAGCTCTCCCCAGACTCGTCACTCCTTATCTCATTGAATTTCTCAAAGCAGCGATCGGAAAAGCCGTCGGAAATCGAGGGGTCGCAGGAGGCGAGCGAGGAGTCGCCGATCAGCCTGGACCGAGTCGAGTTCGCTGTAAAGTGTTGCGAGGAGCAGATAGCCGAGCTAGAACACGAGGACATTGACGAGAACGGCCCGACGAGGGAGGAGGAGGATGGGGCAGAGGAGGAGGAGGAGAAGTGGCGATTATTTGTCGAAGATTGTGAACGATTGCTGTACAAGCCCGACGGATTGGCGAATTTGCCCAGGGCAGAGCAGCTGGAGCGTCTCGAGGTACGAGGGCGATGGAACAAGTGGTCTCTCATTTTTTCTTCCCTTTTCTTCACGTATTGTTCTCTGCTGACACAATAGATCAGCGGGATAAGCTTGGATTCTGATGGGGAAAAATTGATAGGGTCGTTGTCGAAGTACGGGGTTCGTCGGGATAATCGGAGTCGTGGACGTAAATTGCGAGGATGTATCAATTCTGTTGCTTTATCTTACTTTTCATGATGCATGTAACCGTAGGAAAATTTTTTTTGGCTTTATACAGTATAATTGGCTGATACATCACTTTCTTTTTATCAGGTCCATTATTTATTTTGTAATTGCTACTTGCTTCAATAAACAACATTTCAGTTTTATTGAAGGACAAGGGAATGCGAGCAGTTACCATGCAGTGAGAGATCTTATTGACAATCATCAATGTTTTTTCATATTAATATTAGAAATAGTACGAGACTTTATAAATATAGGTAACTTTATAAGTACAGATATAATCCAAGTTATTGTAAACAGGTAATGTTTTGAATATATGTCTAAAGCATCAGCATGTTAATCTTTGTTGCATCAGAATTAAATAAGATTCTGCAATTCAGAAAGTGAATGTACGTTAACAGATCTATTACTAATCTCCGCATCCAGCAAACAGAGTGACTTAGCTAACTAGGGTTAACCAAGTAAACGTACTACACGCACATCCGCAATAGCAGAACCAGTAGTGCGGGATGAGTTTAATGAGTGTATCAGTCACATTAGTCAGAACCTGCTGTAACCACAAAATAGCATATCTAACATGAGTCTGATAAAATGTTTTCAAATAAAAGAGCGTTTTTTATGTGATAGTTATCATTTTTAAGGTATTTTTTAACATCCTTATAAAGTTGATATCCCTTTTGACTGGATATAATATACATAAAAATTTAGAAAATCTATAAGATGAAACTGATGGGTTAACATTCGTGGTAATAAAAAAAATTAGTATTTTAGTATAAATATATTATTATTAGGGAGCTGGTTGCGAAGAAAAATTAAATAACGACCTTAAAAATAGCATAACGATAGCAATAAGCGTATAAAGCAGCTCGTTGGTTTCATTCGACAAGAAAAAAGAAAAAAAAAAACTTTTTCAAGTAACTAAAGCCATCAGCAACCCACGTATACTTGAGACCTCCACATCTAGATATTACAAAAGCCACTCGTGTTCTCGAATCCACTAATCAATAACAATTACCAAACCTTCACTCCGCCGCTGGTTCGCACAATGGAACTAGGCGTAGCACGATCGCCGCCGCGCTCCACAAGCAGGTCAAACGGAACATTAATCAAAATCTCCTCCCCCGACCCCTCGAACGGCAAGAACCCAAAGTAGCCAAGTCGAATCGCGAATTCATACGTCCCCACCCCCGATTTTCTTCCATCCTCTTGTAAAAAAAAAAAAACCTCCCCGCATCTATATGCGAATCTATTTTCCGTTCAAGCGGAACTCTTCAGCCTCCACACGCATGCATTTATGGATGGAGCATCCGAGGGAAGAGGACACACTCGAATTGGGGGGGGGGGGAAACCTACATTTGTCGGAGAATTTTCCCACTCCCCCCGGCTCGAATGATTTATCGCGCGAGCTCCTGCGATTGTTGTTTTATTCAGAGCGAGCGCGGAGCAAAGGGCGCCCCGTGATTATGATAATGTGCCACTGCTGCGGTTGTCCACCGACGCACATCGAGCGCGGCAGCATCACGGAGATTAGTATGGCTGTACTTCTTCGCATTAGCCTGTACCACACCCGGGTCTGTGTCAATGTTTTGCGCGGCTCGTGCTCTTGATTCTCGCGTCGATCCGTTATTCATTTATTTCCCTGGGAACGAAAGGAAAGCGCGTGGGGATGGAGAACAACGAGCGCGAGTTGGAAGAGAAGATTATAAGGAGAGTTTTGTTGGCTGGCTGTTAGAGGAGGGGGGGGGAGGCTCTTCACTTATTCATAGGGTTCGCTCGAGCACCCGGTTTCTTGCTCGCGCTATCTTTCTTCCTTCTCTTTTTCATGTTTTTTTTTTTTTCTTTCCGCTGATCTCGAGCAAAGAAACGCTGATTCATTTAAAAAGTACCTACTGGAAACTTTTATTTTATGATGATGGGTTTGTGCAAAGTGGTGGGGTGAATGGCTGTGACGAGGCAATTCCTTGGGGTTGGAGAGGTGGTGCTAAAAGGATGACTTTTTTTACGAGACGTTTGTAAAGAAATATCAAGAATGTGGGAAAAATCGCTGTTTCATGATGTTTAATGTTTGGGTTGGTGAAACCAAGGCCCTCGTGTGCGAGGGGTGTTTTAAAATGGAACAAATATCTTAAAGCTCTCTTTTACGACGTGAAATATGTGCTTTCCATTTTGACATTGAAAACATTTGTTGGGGAACATCAATTTTGGAAATTGACATTCAACACAGATTTTTTTTCCTTGTAGTGGAATTTTCTGTTTGTAGCAGCCCCAAAATTTAAATAAGTTATCTCAAAGATGAGTCCACATTGTCACAATATTTTAACATACTTCTTACGGAAAAAAAGTATAATTGGTCAGTTGGGACCTATAGCATAATGACGTACATGTTAAGTAAATCCTTCTTGTGCTTTCAAAATTGTGACTATTATGAGAAAGCCCGTTTGCATGAGCCTTTGATACTAAGTCCTATTTTATTTACTAAATTATACAGAATTTTTTCCTTATTTATCAAAACCTCCAGTCATCCATTCGTAAAAACTCAACTAAATTTTAATTTTCTGCTTAAAGAGTCACAACCAATCAATCAGTCGATTAATCAGTCACTCAATCAATTAATCAATCAATCATTCAACGAATAATTACAGTTTTTAGCTCAAAAATGTTTTATCTCTTCTATATCCGTATATGTGTCTTCGTCTGTAATTTTCTATACATTTATGTATCTTTTTAAGGAACTAACATACTTGTGTGTATGATTCTCTTTGGTCAGTAATATCATACATGTATAGCTCAATAATTAACAAATATACTAAAAATTATTCTTTTAATCCTAGGATCGGCTGTTTTTGTAATAAAAAGGAAACAAGAGATTAACAAATAACACTTACGTTTTTGTTTATCTATACCCAAAAGTAGCTCATTCCTTGGATATATCTTTTTTTTCTTAGAGCAGCTAATTACTTGTACATACATGTATTTATCTGAAATTTTTATAAGAGTAAGCTTATTATTCAGTGGTAGCAGATTTATCTCTACATATAGCACTTAATTTTGCATTTAGTATTGTCTTGTTTAAAAATGTTTGATCTTCTTTAACATGTACTAGATCATTTTTTACTTACAAGTTTACTAAAACTCTCGAAAAGATAAGAAACTTGGTACATTTTCTACAGTAGCATTTAAATGAAAAATATGTAAAAAAAAACAAAAAAGAAAAATCAAAATTCACTTTTAATGATGCTGTAGCACGTATTTTTCGGCAGGTCTGTTACCAAGCAGCCCAGTCAGCGCTGGAAAAGCTGAAAAAGCTCGACCCGCAGTTCGATTTAAATGGCGAGCGCAACATTTGGATCGTGAAGCCGAGCAACCTCTGCTGCGGCTCCGGTATTTTCATGACCCACGAGCTGAAAACAATTTTGCGGAAAGTGGAGAGCAAACCTCGCGACTACTACGTCGTCCAGAAGTATATTGGTAAAGATTATTAAGAGGGAGGCAACCGATCGACATACAGATGGACAGACACACGGAATAGAGCGACTTTTTCGCTCGGTGCTGTTTGTCCGTGCTGTCTGTTGATTTGGTCGTTGCTGGCTGGCTTGCCATTTTCCCGAGGCAAACACAATTTTTCGATCTCGATTCCCAGAGCGCCCCTTTTTGGTCTACGGTACGAAGTTTGATATTCGACAATGGTTTCTCGTTACCTCGACCTTTCCAATGACCATATGGATGTACAAGTGAGTATTTACATCTATATCCATTTGTTGTCTCATCGAATCAAGTTGTTAAAAATTTTTTTAAATTATCCCATCTCAAATTCAGTAACGCGGTATAACTTTACAAAATATTGAAACACAACCAGAGAGTCGAGCCGAAATTTCTACACAAAAATACATCCATCCCCTCAGTAAATACAAACCCCAACTTATCAATAACCAATCAAAAATCTCTCGCCCGAGGGAGCCGGAAAATCCAAGAATAATAACGATCCGTCGAAATCCCCCCTCGAGCTTGTCTCCCAAAACCTTGAGAAAACCCCGTAGAGTCGGTCAAAGTTATCACAGCCACGTAACATCCACTCCAGGGGCCATTGAAGCCCTCCATTGCCAAACACTCGTCCACACAGCCGTTCCCAACGCAAAATTGATCTTTCAAGCTCAGCTCTCCGAAAGGCCACACACACACACACACACACACACACAAAGCCCCTCTCGAACGACCGCACCGATAAGGTCAACTTCCCGAGGAATTTCCCATCCGCCCGCAGGCCATCATTATCAAGCCTTGCTTTCAGAGAGGCTCTGCTGCGCTTTAGCTCAAAGCCGTACAGTTACACGAGCTACCACGAGGCCGTCCATCTGTGCAACACCGCCGTGCAGGAGCGGTACGATTACGAGCGCAGGAGACGGCGACACCGCTCCGGTGGCAGCGTCGAGGACGAGCCGACGGTGCGCGATCTCGGCTGGGACTGCAACAAGCTCGACGAATATTTGAAGTAATTTCACGCTCTCCCGAACCTCCTTCCCCGTGTTTTCCCTCCTGGCTCGCCGAAGTGGATCTTTCATTTGTCGATTCTTTTTTTTTTTTTTTTTTTTTTTTTTTTTTTTTTTTTTTTTTTTTTTTTCTTTCTTTCCCTTCATCCCCCGAGCCCATCAACTCGCGGCACTTGCCAAGGGCCCTTTATGAAACGTCAACCCTCGACTTGGCACACCGCTACGTCCGCAAACAATACGATCCTCCTCCGATCCGAGCTGCCAATTCCTATAAGCTCCGCGTCCAAAACGGATGGGGGACGCGTGTGTGCCCGCCTGACGCGACCAAGTTCGAATAATTGATTCCGGAATGGTGGAACTCGGGCGCGTTGGAATCGCCCTCCCCCCCCCTGTACGCGCTCCGAGAACTACTTCGCCCAACTTGGCCGATTAAGTTTTCTTAATAGTTTCGATTGCCCCCCTCCCGGCAAACTTGAACATCGACGCTGGATACTGTTTATCGCCAACTATTACGGAACTTGTGTGTTTTCGCGCTTGCCTCGTTACTATGCGCACGGCGAGAGATCTATATTTGGACTTTTCTTTCTTCGATAACTCTCCAGGCTCTGAAAAATAACAAGCAGCCTTCGATAGCTCAGGAAAATTTTCTGGGGGGTTGATTAAGAAGTTTTCAAGCAAATTTCCAAACGAGCACTGAACGATTCCGGCATTCCCTATGACAATCCCTTTTTGCCGGTATGTCGGCATGAGTGGTTTCAATGGCGAGAAAAGCTTCCTTGGGTCATTGAATCCTTGTGGCGTACGTACGCGAGTGCAATGTTCGGAATCAATCCAAATGAGTTAAAGAGAAAAAAAAAAAAAAAAAAACAACAGACTACACAAAGGGGGATCCGGGGTATAATCAATGGCAGAGACGGTTCTAAACGCTGGCTGCGCGCACCCAAGAGATCTTGATTTTCCATCCGTACCGGTTGACAAGGAATTTCTCCTTCTCCGTGTACGTATACGTGTGACATTCAGCGAGAGCATTCGAGCGAAAAGTACCGATGTGCGCATATTTGTGGATTTCGGCTGCACACGTGTGCACACACGGGCGAGCGATCGCGCATGCAATTCCGTCCTCTCACGCGATTCCACCCCTTCGGGTAAGAGTACACGTATACGTGCACGGCGACAACAGCAGCTTCCGACTCTGTCTTTGTGCTCCTTTTTTCCCTCTTTTGCTCCGAGAGGGTTTCGAGCTCGGCATGTATTTTTTTATGCCTCCCGAATGAAATGCCATCCATACCCCCAAGCTCTTGGATTTCTTTCTCGCTTCGTTTTTCCCTACTCGGATTCTTTCGTTTTCTTCTTTCCTTTTTTTGCTTCTGCGATCGGCAAAGTGAGCTGATTTGTTGTCCGTTTCTGTAAAACGATCGCACAATTGTTTGGCGCGAGCTTACCCGTCACCTTTGGATTTCACCTGTACCTCGGAAAATCTTTAACATGCACTAAAACCGAAAGGTTACACCGGTAATTCTGCTTACCTGCTACTGTAGGGGAAAAGAGGCTCTTGTCGAGGTTGTCCATCATAACGAGGTGTCCTCAACAAGATCACGGACTTGACCGAAGCACGTACCTTCATGAGCATCTTCAGAAGAGCGAGGCCAGCACAAAGAGCCCCTTCGCCCTCGACAGATCGCCGCTCTCCTCTTTTTCCTCCAGCTCCGGTGAAAGCCGTGCTTTCGATGTGTTTTTTTGCCTCCCCTTACTCACCGACTTCTTTTTCTTTTTTTTTTTATTTTTCCCTGCGCGAACAGAACGGCGTGCGATAACGAGGAGGGTGGCTCGCCCTACTGGGACAAGATTTACCCGAAGATGTCGCAGGCCATAGTGCTGACGATGCTGGCGGCCCAGGACTTTATGGACAGGCGGCGGTGCAGCTTCGAGCTGTACGGGGCCGATTTCATGGTAATGGAGGACCTCAGCGTATGGCTTATCGAGATAAATACGAATCCGAGGATGCACCCGCCCAGCTCGAGGATCACCCAGCGCTTGTACGCTGGCGTGCTCGACGGCTTGGTCAAGGGTTCGTATGTCCAACCTACACTCTCCCTACCTATATACCTTCCTCCCTACCTCTTTCTTCCTCTTTCGCTGGAAATGGGCTTTTGGCTTGCTCGTACGCCGCATCGGTCGATGTGTGTGGGGGGGTAGCCTAGATCGATAACCACTGCGCCCTTTTTGATCCCCTTCACGATATTGCTCAGGTTTCCGTGTGAAACTAAAACTCGGTTTTTTTTTACTAATTCCTCAAAGGATATCGCCCCTTTGTGCGCTCCAAGCGCCAACCCTTCTGCGTACAGAGTTGATAAATTATTGTTTGGTTTTTATTACTTGATGTATGCACGATGAAAATTAGCTATGAAAATTTAGTATGTTGGAAGATCGGAGAACTTGTTACCTTTTGACTTTTATTAGAAAAAGTTTAAAGCAACCTTGGCTATTGTTCGATTTCGTCCGTAACTCTCTATATCTTTGCATTTCAATTTTTTTTATATGAGCCATTCCGTATTTATCTTTATGCAATTTTTTTTTTCACGGTGTAGGGGTAAAATGTTTTATATTTATATCAATGTCTTTATACGATACAGACCTATGTATCTTTTTTATTCATTTATTAAATTTTTTAATGTATTTGCAAAACAATGTACTAGCGATACATAAGAATAATCGTTTCTTTATGCATTTGTCTAATTACGTCCTGACATGCCTCTGTATCTCTACTTTATGCTCACCTATTTCTGTTTTTAAACCATTGACTTCACAGTCCTAAAACTTTATTTTTGTGTACCTCATACTTACCTACTATCTGTCTTTTTTTTACGCTGAATCCTTTATTTTATAATAGAAATATAAAGGTAAAAAAAATTGTAGTGGTTTACTATTTATTGTGTTTCTATTTCTGAATGTTTTTTTTCCTTATTTCGTTATTTCTTCACATAAGTATTTGACTTTTGGTGGGTGAGTGTCTTTTTTTTAGAACAATAGACGCTTTAACTATGGTTAGTAATTTTTTAATTATAAATAAATTAGGGCAGAATTAGCTCATTTCGAAAATAACGTATCAGATATGACTTATTAACGGAGGGTCAAAATTTTTTAAAAATAAGTATATATATGTCGACAATGTGAGTTATTAAAATTTGTTCATTATTTCAACCGGAAAGCAAAATGTGAGAGTATTTTATCAGCTTCAAACAACGATTATGTTGAAAAAAAATATAGTACACAGTAGTTGAAAGCAAATGCCGACGTAGATCTATTTTTATCCATCCCTCTACAGAACCAATGCAATCTCCTCTGCAGTTTGTCATGTCATCTGACCTTCTCATCCTCGAATGAAAACATAACCCTGAACATTTTCAGCTCGATCCGTTTGCTTATTTCTTATCTCACAAACAATTCCACCGTAATTATGTATATGGAATTTACAGTAAATAATTTAATATTTTGTCTTTGGAGAAATTTTTTATTACAAGTTTATTGCGAATAAGCAAATAATTGTATTGCTTTTTTTTGGCTCTTCTCATCGCGTTTCTATATTTTGACACCGTCGTCTTAAAGGTTTTATTTACTTGTCATTAAATAGTCATGACTATTCTTTTTTACACTTTTGTTCTTCAATAACAGACTTTTTCTTTAATTTTTTAAGTTGTTGCATGTTAATATTTCTATACTCACGATAATCTAAGCTTTATCGAAAAAATTATCAGTATTTACATGGTAAAAATCCATTATTTAAAAAAGTAATAAAAAGAACTGTTCAAGTTTCATATGATTTTCATATATCCCTATCTCAATAGAAATCCTTATATCAGTTTTGGTGCACTGTAATTATTCAGATAAATGGCGTACAGCTACTAAAATCGGTTTCATTGAAAATTTGTCTACAATTTTTCTTTTGTATCCCTCTAAAAGACTTTTATGTTGATAAGTATCTGCCATAGTCCTGATATTTTTGTGCTACTTTTTGTATGTTTTTATTCAGGGCTATTTGTTTTTTGACAAACATTTTTATACACTTGTGAAATTTTACTTTGGCTCTTTTTTATTCGTTTCATTAATAACTTCGTTCTTATTTCATTATTTAGTATTCCTCTATCTTTTTATAAGAATACTTTTTGTTCAGACTGAATCAAAAGGCCAATTTTATTTATCTTTCCAATGCATATTAAATTTACTGTGATTACTAGTGTGATAAAAATAAAAATTCTTGAATCAAACGATAATCTTATTTGACATTTCAATCGTTGTCAAAAAGGAGACTTAAAATACACTGAACGAAAGCACAACTGTAAACATCAAACAGCAAACATATGCATCCACCGTCAAGCTACCAGCCGACCACACACCACAGCATCGTCCACTGTCGTTGTTTTCGACAGAAAAAAAAAAAAAAAAAAAAAAAAAACAGAAATCACTCCACTCTCAACCCGTATTTGTATTTGCCCGCTTGACTTGCAGTGGTGATGGATTATCCAATAAACCCCAACGCCGATACGGGTGGCTTTGAGCTCGCTTACCACCAGAGCATACCGGAAAGCCAGCCGTACCTCGGACCTTGTCTCTTCGCCTTCGGTAAGTCGATGACACTGCACGAGGCCTCCGCTGCGATGCGAAAAAAGTGTGGAGCTTCCAACCAGTGGTCAGCCAAACCGTATCGAGCCTGGACTGCACCTCCGACTAGTAGGGAGCCGAAGACAGCAGATTTCGTCAGTTGCTTGAATGTGACGTCGACCACGAAGTTTGGGAGCAGTCAAGATGAAAGTGGACGAGATTCGAGATGAAATGGTTAAGGATTCGGAAAATAACACTCAGAAGACATAAAATTGTTTGAGTTTTAAATTTTGAGATCGAAAATTTTTAATCATGTTAATTATTTGCATACGGAATTGTAAATTTGAATCGTGTGTAATGGTGTGATAAATTTTGGGATTATCGCAAATAACAATTAATCACTTTAGCATGTATTGTGTTTCATTCCGATAAAATTTTATGCAGTAGTTTCTTGATGCTGCCAATGAAAAATGTTACTTTTTTTTACCTTTAGTAAACACAATCAGAATATTGATGAACAAGTTTGATAAGTAATTAAATATAAATAAAAAATGAATTTAACAAATTTTCTCAGTCGTGAAATATACACCTCAAACAGTGGGATTGATACTGACCTTTGTGGCGAAATATTTTTGCTCCAACGATGACGGAAGTCCTTGGCTTACTCCGAAATTGACCGGTGTATACATGGTTAAATCAAAACATTCAATTACATTATAATTTTACTTCCGTAATTAAGTTGTTAAGTAAAAAAAATTATCTTTTTAACGTAAATCAAATGTTTAAAACTAAAGAAATCGCAAATAAAAAATCTAAGAGGTTATTTTTTGGTGATCAAAATAACTAAATAAATTTCAAGGAGACAATGAAATAAATAATAAGTATTGTTTGATTAGTTGGATTACACAAATGTATTGAGAATTATCGGTCAATAAATGAACAAAACAAATATCAAAAGATCTATGTATGGTAAAACAAACAAATACTCATTGATATTCAAAGACAATCGTTTTATTGATATGTACATACAATTAATTTATTTACAAATTCCTTGAGTCTGAAAATCTTCCTGTACCGCACCAATAAGTTTTTTTTATTTTCATTTTCAATAACAAAATACTAAGATCTTACCACTTATTTAGCAGTGCTTAATATCATGAAAAAAAAATTTTTAATTACGGACGTGAGTTATAAACGATCTCGTTCGATCGATTTCGCACGTAGAGGATAAGACTTTCCATTAACATGTTGTACTAAAGTGATAAAACTTACTTAACATTCATATTCTTTTTTTTAAAATTAAGATAGTTTAAATAAATTAATTTTAATTAAAATGGAATTCAGTCGATTTCGTCATATTTGGTATTATTGAAAAGTAAAATCCACAGGTGGAAGATATTTCGTAAAATATTACTGTCACCAATAAAACAGGAGTTAAAAATCAATTAAATAAATTAACAACTTCACGTGAAAACATACACGGTGAACGACAGCTCATTCAACATTGTTAACTAAAATTTTTAAGTTCTTGATGCATTTTTTATTAATTTCGTACCTTCGATTTTTTTGATAACTCATACTAATCCAGCTCTGAAAATATGGAATAGTCAGTTGTTTTACCCATACGGCATTCGTACCATAAACAGTTATTGGTAAGTGTATAGACAGTAGCTGTAAAAAATCTAGACTTTTTGATAAAATTCCAACGGACGAGTTATTTGACAATCCCAGTTTCTGGTGTAACCATGAAAGTTGACAATAAAACAGAGGTCCTTTTTTGCACTTTGCGTCCTGGAGTATAAGTTAATAAAAATACACTCATATCACCGTAAACTGAAATCATACGATTGAAAACTTTTCTAGCTGTTACAACAATCTTCCAAGACAACTGTTCAGCCAAACCACGTCTTTCGATGCATCTTATCCTCCCTGTGCCCGTAAAGTAGTTGTACCTTGCACGAAGAAACACTCATGTCATCATCGCCACATTCATATATAATATATATGCATACGTACGTAATCGCTTCGCCACTCGCATGCACACACTTATATTTTATACGTATATTTTACGCGCTGCGTCCTTTCACACGCAATGGCTAAACTCATTGGCTTCATACAAACATCAAGTTTGCGCTCACTAGAATTAACAGCGGTAACGACAGTGTTCTCGCGTAAGATGTGCTGCCGTCGCCGTGATGCATTGCCGCCGGATGCTCATCTGCGAACACAACAATTTTGATAATGCGTCAGTAATTATGAATAATGAAGTATATGTTTGGCGTATGATCGTCATTTTTATTAATCGAAAGATTTCTAAAAAAAAAATATTTTCCTTTTCATTAAAATTATATCGTAGAGCTACAAGTACGGCGAGAATGCACGTAAGAGCTGTACGTGTTAGCTGATGCAGAGGGATTAGAAAGAAAAAAAAAAAAAAACTTTTGACCGAGTACGCGCACATACATTTGTACACGTATGAGTACAAGAGTGGACGAGCACTAGCGCCTGAAAAACATGTTTTCCCAGATGCGCGTTTGAACGCGTGTGCACACTAGGCGCGGATATCTGGGTCAACGTACTTTATAATTTTGGAGCCCTCTCGTTCAAGCACAAAAGCATTGTGCTTGTTTTAATGCATTCACCACTACCTATGGCATGAAAATTTTATGAGAAAAAAAAAATGAGTTCAGACTGAATATATAAATGTTTTAATCCGTGCAAAAACAACTATAGTGTTTCGTGAAATTAAAAAGCACACAACGACCGTGTAAAGTTCAAAGGGGGGGGGGAGACAAAGCTTCTTTTGCTCCATAAACCTAAAAGCCGTACGTGTATGCACCTAATAATAAAAGCCAAGAAACCTAATTACATCCTCCGCGCTCCCCGGGAGGTGGTGTTTTTCGATTTGTATACGACCCTTACGGGCCAGATCGCGAGAGAGAGTACATTTATCATCCCCAGAGCGAAAGCACCATCGCGAGAGGCAGAAGAAAACGGGGAAGCCAGCAAGTCGGCGGAAGCACACTCCTCGAGAGGCAGGACACTGGAAGGAGATCTGTAGACAAGCTCAGTTGAAAATAAAGGGAATCAAACGGTAAGTGCAAAGTGTGACGACGCGCTCGTGACGAGAAAAAAGTGGGGACGGGGGTGGGGATAATAGATTTGGAAGGAGAGACAGATTGAAAAATTGCGTGAAAAGCTCCCACGCTCGTGGATGACCTCCAGTCGAGCCCGACGCAGACAAATCGCGCGTCGTGCATCATAGCCCCCCCCGTATTATGGGATCCTGAGAGCTTCTTCCCGCTCCCGGAAGGATGGAGTCTCAAGCTTTGGCTTATATCTGCGAAAATTTCCCGGCAGAAGATGTTATTTAGCCCGACTCCCCCCGCTTTCCTTGTCAAGGCATTTTCCGTGATGCATGGTGTGTGTCGTACGATCCGAGCTCGTGCATATATATANTTTGCGGGGATTCCTACAATCCTCAAGAGTTGGAGATGCATTTTGACTAAAAGGAGTAGTCATTCGCATACCTATATATATATATATATAGGTATGCGAATGACTACTCCTTTTAGTCAAAATGCATCTCCAACTCTTGAGGATTGTAGGAATCCCCGCAAAGTTATTAGTAGCCCAATTAAGAAACTATGGATACCCTCAAAAATCTGGTCAAAGTTACCCTTGGAGCATCTCAATTCTTTCCGCCGCAACAATATTTCTGAAAAAATTCTCAAACTGCGCTTGTCGGCGTTTGCATAATAGCCCCTGTGGGTAACAAGACTCGACCCACTTCCATCTGAGATCGACTTGGTTCTTGTTCAAGCACAACAATCCTCGACCGGCTTCTCAAAGGGAATGAAGAAAAAAAAAAAAAAAAAAAAAAATTCAACTCACCGTTGACGACGTGAACTTTGATACTCCTGGCGTCTGCGTTGCTGGGCTTGCAGGTGTAGGTGCCAGAGTCGCGTTTGCTCGCACGCTGTATCATCAATCGGCTCGTTGTCTCGGGGCCCTTTTCCGTCACCAAACTGATGCCTCCCCGCGGCGAGTCGAAATTGATTTCCTGCTTGACACCCGAACACAAAACCCGTGTGTATTAGTACGTGATACATGGGGTGTACAATTTTCACGGCAAGTAGAGCAAACAAGATTGGAAATGGAGCTGGTAAAGCATCTAATTGACTCTATACGGAAGGGATGTCAATGAATTAATTTCAATCTCAAAGGCCCCAGAGCTCGTGTGATGTTCCTCGATACTACTGCACTAGTGTGCGGCGCTATGCGTTATTATTAAATTTCTCTCATCCAACTACTGTTGGAATCACGTGACTGGAAAAGGGAGACTCCAAAACGATGATTGAGGGCATACGTTTGCATTCGTGTTTATGTTAAACTAAGGGGATTCTCGATTGCAATGATTTTCCATCTGTTGTAGTAGTAAAGTAGTTTTTAAGCCTACGACTTATTTATGGACTTGGGTACGGATACTCGTTTAATTTTTTTTAAATATAATTTTTTACTACGCTAGTGCAATAAATTATTTGTGCTCAAAAATATTTTTTCTCATTACTACTTGTAACACACAGCTTAAAAAGCATTTTCTCCAGCAAAAACAATTAGTTACAATCTAAAACAAAACATAATTAAAAAAAAAATAAAGAGTAAAAATATTAAAAATAATATTTAAATGTTTCATTTCATGTTATTCATTCATAATATCTAAAATATTTTGCACTTGTATAAGAGATTAAAAAATTTACTCAATATTGCATTGGGAATAGTTTCGGATAGATTTTTTAACCAAAAAAATTGTGGGTCTGTGATAACAGTTTAATATTTAATACAAACATCTAATAAAACAAAAATTCAAACTACATTTGAAAAATATCTTCAAAAACAAATTGTTGCGTGAAATTTCTTGACAATCGTAAAAAAATAATTTTTTTCCGTAAAATTTTGAAATCAACCATTGAGAAATAATAAAAAAAGTGGGTTTCCCAACTTCTAACTATATTTAATAGACGAGAAAATAAAACATACTACGAGAAATCCATTTTCACAGCCATGACATTTTCAATCAAGCTGAAAGAAAGACGCGTTGCATACGACGCGTGTGGCGGGCAGGCAAAAAAATTGATGCGAATATGCGCTCGTGGGCTGTTTTATGAAGGACGCGGTTTGATTATAAAAAAGAACAGGCAAAACTGGTGTGATTGTTTTCTGAGAGCGTTGGTGATTTTTTTGTGTTTATTGAGTTTTTCTCTGTTTCTTTAACAGTTGACCGACTGACGGGTGTACCAACCAGATGGAATAATTTGCGGGCAGGAGATTAATTTTCACGCATCTGGTGAAGTGGGATATTTTTTAAATTCCCCGAGCTTTCAGGGTTTGGTTATTTTTATTTTACAGTAAAATAGTGGAAAAAATAAAAAGGTATGAATTCAAGTATATTTTAGCTCAGTTTTTATAATTTATTTGATACGGTGGAGTTAACTTACGAAATTAAAATTTTTCCACTTTGTTGTAAAGCATAAAAAATCTGTGTTATGAATTGTATCAGTCGAAAATACGGTAATAAAAAATTGATTGAATTGAAATTTCATTAGTTCTCGTGAAATCATTGAAATTTTAATAAAATATCTGATATTGAACAAAGAGTTTCTCGTGTGTAATATTAATTTGTCTTTAAAGTTTTTTTTATTCATTTATTTCAGTAACGGGAAAATTATCAATTGCATCAATTAATCTTGAAATCCTTTCTTTCACAAATTATTCAACGTGAAATTACGAGGTTCTTACCAAAAGTACTAAGGATAGTTCTTAAATGTATCATTTTTACAAATCATAATTTTCAGCAACATATAGTTGATGTGATATATTTTAACTTTATTCTTTAAGATTTTTTTACTTTACACTTACTGCATATTGTTCTGGTTTCTCAATTTTTAAAAGTGTAAGAATAAACAATGTTAAAATAATTAAATTTACAATATGTTAGAATAAGAACTAATAATTCTCTTGTAACTTACAACAGAACTTGTCACTAAAATCAATCTTAAACCCGCAAAAAATATTAGATTCATGGAGTCCTTTAAAAACTCAATCCATTCCAAAACGTTAAAACCAATCATCTCATGAGAACTGATAAACTTTATTGAGCATAAAAATAATATTCTAAAGTTAAAAAAAAAAAAACTCAAATAAAAGATCTTTCATAAATTCACCCCAACCCCGGGCACAGTAAAAATTTCATACGCCCTAAAAATTCAACATGCGTTCCCGGAACTAATTTTGGCGTTAAGCCTTAAAATTCATAATTTACGATTCCCAACTAAGCTCAAGTTCCCGAAAAATCCATACCACTGGTCTAATCAACCATTTATACTAGGTAAACGCTTGCAGCACCATCCAAAAAAAGACACTAACCTCGTCATTGTGCGTCCAGGTCATCTTAGGTGGTGGCTCTGGTGCGTACCTGACGATGCAGGTAAGATTTATGGTACTGCCCTTATTGACGTAGTAGTCGTCTTCTCCCGTTATCATCGTCTCCGGCTCTATATGAACAGACAAACCAATGCAAGTCCACTTTGGTATATAAAAAAACGCACAAGTGCCACTCGATTTCTCGATTCGCAAATTCCTCCAATTAAGTTCTTTGACAGTCATTGCACAAACAAAATCCAATTCATCCGATGCAATGGGGCTCTTTTACATTTTAATTTCCACTCCATGTTGAGTAGTCCATCAGCAAAGGACGAAAATGCAAAAAATTTTATTTCCACTGGAGCTTAGCTGTTGCCCTCCTACTCTTGCGCTTCTCTGTTTTCTAGTTTTTACCCGCGTGCTTTTTGTTCAGGATAATGTATTTTTCTTACGAAACATTCACGCAAGCACGCCATCCCACGTGGATAAGTTATTGGTATTATATTCACAAAAAAAAAAAAAAAAATCATCCTCCGTCACGAGAAAAATCGATTCTTTCGCAAAGGGTAACAAGCCAATGAAACACAGTTGCTCGAGTGGAGGAGAACGAAAGAGGACGGCATCATTCCTCTCGCTCGTCAAAGGCCCGCTATATTTGCGATCTCATTGAGCTGAATGGCCTACTCAGCGTAACGAGCTCATCGAGACTGATAAAGGAGAAAAAAAAAAGAAGTAAAGAGAGCCAGGCCTCTCGATTATCATCCGAAGCTTGAATTTGCAGAGCACTCGCTCGGCCGGCCATCGAAAGCGTGACACGCGCGCGAGAGGCCCCCAAAAAAGCACGGGCGCCAAAGTACAAACCCCAGCCAGTTCAAGATGAATCGCGCGAGATTCAATTCCAGAGCTGTCCCCATCCGTCTTTTTCATTTCCGTGGCCTCCCGTATACAGCCAAGCTACCCGCACGCAGGGTGCCACGGGATTTTTACTGCCACAGCCTGCCCCGATCCCGGCCCGGTCGCCACTTACTTTTCCTCCAACTATACATCCCGCCATACACCTTGCCCCTGCTGCGACTATATACTCGATTACCGGAGTCCCTGGCTAAGTGGCTCGTTGATTTATCGCCCGCTGCACCGACTTGCCCTTTTTTTCCCCTCCGCTATACTTTCCTGCTGGCCGGTGTCTTCAAACTTTAATATTATCGGACGGCTTTGCAGTGCGCATCGGTAATTATTTATTGCTTACGCAGAAAAAAGGGCATGCGTGTCCACGGACGAGCTTTACTTGGAATTTCAATTATACGAGGCGCGGGTATATGAATATCGATCTGTGTGCCGTGCGAGCGGAGAGGGTGGCTGCGGACTATACGGAGGGATAATGGCTGGAAAATGAAATTCATTTGATTACTTCTGTTGGGGGATGATTTATCGGATGCATATTTACTCGAGCTTTTGCGTTTCTTGCTTGAACTTATGACGGAGTCATTTTTCTCTGACCTATAGCATTAAGCGCCGAAACGCGTCATCAAGGTGGAATCTATTTTCATTATAAGAAGCTATTAAAGGTTTGGGTCTGTGTGTTTCATGTTCTACGTGAGAGTAATCGGATGCAAGGAGTAGCGCCAAGGAGAGAAGAGGAGACATAGCGCCGAAGAAAAGCCCAAGACTGTATAGTTCTGCGTATTAAAGAATATTTGTAATTACCGCGCCAATGTCATAATCCAGTACTTCTTTATCGACGAAGATTGTATGTATTCAGAGTATGTATTGTAAATTGCGTCGCGTTCGAGTGCGTATGAATAATGTCCTAGCGGTAAGAATCAGAAGTATGTATGTAGATATAGTGTGGTAATGCGCGAGGCTGCACTAATTGGTGGGCCTAACGTCACTCTTGTAGTAGCCTTCGAGCGAACCAGAGCTTCCCGAGTTTTCGCGTTTCCGGTAGCACGGATCGAGAGAGAGAGAATCGAGAGAGAGAGAGAGAAGGAGAAGAGCGGATTTCAGTTCCCAAGCCAGCCGGAAACGACCTTGCGACCGACAACCAAGGAGACGCGGACCATCGCCACCCCAAGCTGTCATCTGCGAGACCAGGGCATCGACAGGCCAAGAGCTGATTTGACCCGGAACATGGTGAACCCGGAGGTAAGGGTAAAGTAGAGGGTGCGAGCGTGTGTGTGTCCTTACGTGTGTGTTGGGGGGATCGAGTAGTGCGGGACTCCCCCAGGTTGCGTGGAGTGCGAGAACGAGAGAGTCCGGGGGAAAGCGTGATTGTCGCGGATTAGTGCGATAGCGCCGGATTGCGCCGAGATTCGGGCCTAAAAGCCTACGTGTAAAAGTTCGCCAAAAATAAAGTGAAGTGTTCTTGAAATCATAAACTCGTTGTGGTCGTGCATGTGTTTTTTTTTCCTCCTTCAGATTTTACAGGTCGCGCCTCGTTTCTCCTTGGGAGAGTAGTCCGATCCCGACGGACTACCGCCGGCAGGACCTCCTCAGAGACGAGTCTCCTGGGCCAAGCAGCGGACATCGTGAGCGTGGGGACAGGGGTTGTTTTTCGCGTTTCAGGATACGGCAGACTTTGGCGAGATTGTTGGCGATAGAGTCTTTGGGCGTTGTCTCGGGACCGCCCTGGCTGCGACACTCTATAGTGTCTCAGGGCGTGAAAGTGCAACGTCACAAACTGGTTTGTGCTCGTTTTTTGACGGTCGCTTAAGCGAGCATTTTGAATGACGCTTCGAGGGATGGAAAAAGATCGAGGGGTTGATTACTTACTTCAGTGTAGTGATTTCGTTGGTTTTGATATCACTTGAAACAAAAAGTTGTAAAAAGTATCGGAGTCGTGCCCACATTTTGTGAAACGATGATACTGTGAAGGACGCCATTGATGAATTCAATAGTTGGTATTATTTTTTATGAAAGTTACAATAAAATAAAAAAAGAAAAAAAAGCAACGATTTTTTTGACTGTGCCATTTAGTAAAATTGCTGATCTGACTAACTCATGCTGTAGAGCATTCAAAAACAGAGTTTTCTCTGTACTTTTACAAATAAAGTATAAAATAATCGCGGCTTACACGCATCTGTGCATTTATGGTTTAAAACTTGCAAACGATATCTACGATTTGAAGGCTTGACAAGTATTACGGACTGAACAGCCCTTTGAAATAAAAAAAATTAAAAAAAAACCACATAGTTTGCAATGCAACAAAATCGCGAAAAATGACTCGTGCGCGTGTAAATTGGATTATACCACAAATGTTCCGTCCGGATAACGTATGCTGATTTTCCATCAAGTCGAATCCGCGTCGAAGATAAAAAGTGAATGCGATTTGAAAGTATAATCCTTATAACGGCGAACGAGTGTATTTTTAAATTAAAAATATCTACAGTTAATTATTTAGAGCTCATTTGCATGAGGGGGGTAACCAAAGCGCTAACGAGATATGCTCTCGGCATTTGAATGTCAAATGACGAATAATCGACTGCCCCCCTCCCTGCCTCATTGAAAGCATCACGCACTTGGCACCGATTGTTTGACTGGGGTATATTTAAATTTATCAATTATTATTCTCGAAAAAATTTATTCTGCTGGTCCCACACTTTGAGGTGCCTTTTTTTGCTCGAGCAAATAGTGGAAACCACAACCGCGTTTGCATACACATCGGATTTTGACATTCGCGTAAGCAAACAAGTGTATGCAAACACATATTTTCCGATTCAACCTGGATTTTTTCCCATCAATCCTCCAAATGACAAGCACTCCATTTCTCGGTAAGGAAAAACAAACAAGCACAACCATCTAGGCCCCCTCAATCGTATCAATCGATCAAAAACACGTGCTGCGCCCTAAACCCAAAATTTGATCGAAGGTCGGAGGAATGGACAGTAAGGAGAAAACAATCGTTCAACTCACCAACTATGGTCAGATAGATGGGATGGCCCATGGGTGGGGTCGTCGAGATCTGGCACTCGTAGATGCCCGCGTCCCTGCAATCGGCGTAGCGTATCTTGAGAGTCCATTCCTCGCTGTGGGGCAGGTGGATGGCTTCGAAGCGCTGGTCGCTCGTGTAAGTGTACCGGCCGACTGTGAGTAGGTGGATGTCCCGATGCCTCACCCAGGACACCTGAAACAAGCCCAAAAAAAAAAGAAAAAAAAAAAAGACAATTAAAATACTCACTATTCATTTATCTTTTCACATAAAATTAATAATGAGGAGATCATGTCTCCGTTTATAACGAACATATCAAACCGATGGAGATAAAACTAGACGCTAAACCTTTTCCTTCAATGTACTAATTTTCTGAGGACTTCAGCACTAAATTAATGTCACTGAGACACAGAACTAATTCATTCTAGAGATACACCCGAGGCACCAGCAGCAGCTTGGTTTTCTTCAAAGATCGTGTACGAGGAGATTGCTTGTACGAGCCCCTCTCTCTCTCTCTCTCTTTGTCTCCATCCTGCTTTATAGAACCAGAGTATACAGCCACAGTCTTGATACAAGCACCCAGCCCGAATATAATATCTGGTTCCCAAGTTGAGAACTACGAGGGCGAGCAGCGCATTGCGAGGGACTCGCTGGCTTGATGCAAACGACCGACCCCACGGAATCTGATTCCAGCTGCTTGCTGTCTTGCTCTTTCATATATATGTAGGTATACAGTTGAGAGCTCTCCTCTCGGTGACAGTATGTATGTGTGTATGTCCGGCCGCGAATTGTTTGCCAAGATGCGCGCTTTGTATCACTCTCTCTCTCTCTCTCTCTTTCTCCCCCTTCCATCCTCTTCATGTTGATCTCCAGGTTTATATATACACACAAGACGTTGTGTCTTAGGGATAAGCCGTCCAAAATTCAATATAGCCCGAGCAGGGTCCATATTTCACGGGGTACGTATACATGGAGAAAAGTAGATGGAAGACAAGAAACTGCAGTGGTTTTATTTTTTCATACGTATAGAAAAGAAATGTTTGGTATGATCAAAAGTCGCTGGACAATCTCTGTTTGTAAATTGTTTGGTTCTGATTGATCCGTTTATCGATGAGCCTCTTCAGATGTATTATTTGAGAATAGTGGAGTTGTCAAACAAATTTCCAAGTAATCATTCATAAGGTAAAGATAAATGCGTTTGGCAAAATGAACATGTTGCTATTGGTGTTTAAAGTCGTGTGGTCACATTGGTGAATCAGAAAACATAGTGTGAACAAAATAAAAGTTGAAATAAAATTATCTGCTAATCAATTCACACTCGTACTACGCGAAAAAATCTATAGTTGTCTTTTTCACGTCGCTTGCCCCTCTTTCAGTTTGGTTTCGTAAAAAATTGCAAAACATTTTTAAAGTGTAATAATTAATATGTTTTATACGTAGATTGTTCACATTGGACTATTAGAATAATCATCAAATTTTCTGCTAAAGATTATTAAGTAAGTAAAGCCTAAATGGGTGGCTATAAAAAAATCCAGATGCTGTCCTTTTTAGACATCAAACACACCTAACGTTGAAAACAAAAGGAGGGGAAACAAAAAAAAAAAAAAACGCTAATGGCTTGAGCTCAAATGGCACAACAGTTTTGAGAACAAAAGAAACCTTGTTCATCAAGTCACAGCGTGTGTCCTCATCCCGGGCATGTCATGGAATACTCCATTTATGGAAGTATACACGAACACGAACAGAGGAGACATAGAGAGAGAGAGAGAGAGAGAGAGAGAGCCATGCTCAGGCAGACAATGGGAACAGCTATTTCGTCATTCTCACCACCTCGTCCTAGATATCGGTATAATAACGTACACCCTCTTGCACACAGTCATAGTGAGCCACGGTCTTTCCCTCTTGGTCTGTTTCTCTTCATCTCATCCTCCATTGCCGATTCATAGGGATCAGGGAAGTGGGCTTGCCACCGTTACACGAGCCAAGGAACCATGAGCACTCGTTCAACCCACCTTTCTGCCGAACAAAGCTGCCTCCCCAGCACTGCATGGTGTATACTTACGTACGTGTATGGAGACGCCATGGTCTCCTATAGGTGTATACGTCTACTCTCTTTCCTCCGATGGGTGAGCCAACTTGGCTCTTGGAATATTTGGACAGTGTCGAAGGAAATTCTCATACGTAGTTTGGTTAGCCGGTCGAATTTCGTTAAAAGTGTATGTGGCTGGGCACCACCGAAGGAGAGAAAGAGTTTGATCAGCTTTAAAGCGAGGGTCGCGATAAAACGTTGATTCTGTTTCGAGAAATTTTCCCGAGACTGCGGGATCTCGTCATCTGTGGGCGAACTTCGTTTTAGTTTGCTATGTTTGACTAATGAGCGATGGAAAGTGTAGTATCCGTGGCCCGAAAGATTATACTTTGAAAATGCAGTTACGCCCTTGTGCGGCTAATTATCTGGTCTTTGCGAGGATGTCGTTGGAGGAGAGGGTTCAGAAGAAGTAGTTGTTAAAGCCCGTGATTAGATGAGCTCAGGGTGTAATCAGTTTAAAAATGAAATGTTGGCCAAAAAAATGCAACTGTTTTCCATATTGTAAATTGTGCTTTTTCTTTTAATGATGATGATTGAAATGCGTCCCAAAATGAATGAAAAAGTGGCCTTGATTTTTCGAGTCTATTAATAAATTTTTTAGATACTATGATTTCGTAATTTTTGGGAAACCACTTTTCTACATCAATAGTCCACAGTATTACGTACGATATGCTCGACGTGGGTATCAAGATTTTCTAACATCAAAAATTGATTTGCAGTAAACTTACCAATTTTTTAAAGTCGAATTTCCTTTAAACAAAATTGCTTCAGTTTTTTTAGAATATAATTTTTTTCACATTTAATCCATACATCACATGTCTAAATTGTGTCACTTGAATCGCAGTAGATAGTTGAGAAAACGTTTTGTAATAGTGTAAAATATTTTTTTTTTAAGTGACAATCTGATGAACTTTAAATAAACAATGATCTTTTAAGTAGCAGTATATTGTTCGAAGTGAGGCCGGTAATTGTCTTGCGCCGTTGTGTAAGTCATTTTTAGAAGGGTTGTGATGAACAGAAAATCATATTATAATTTTAATTGTTTAACAAAATATGAACATTATAAATATGATCTTCGTTATTATTTTTTTTTAAACAAACGGTCCCGTGGATCTCTTACTTAGCACCGGTGTTAATTTTCTGATGAAAAAAAGGGTATATATACGAGCTTGGTCAGACACACTTTTCAAGTTTCAATTTTACGCATGAATTTTATAATAGGAGCATAAAACTGTTTGTTGGACGGTACAACTCACCGTTCGATTGCCCAAGTTTTTTACTTTGCATACCAGATGCACAGTCTTGCCCTTGAGCCCCGTGAAGTTCGAGCTCATCGACAAGTCGAAGTGGGGGCCGGTACCAGGCGTAGGCCATTCTTCCAAAAAGTCTGTGCGAAAATTTCGTAGGCCACTCACGGAACCGCCTGAAAACAAACAAAGAATTTACGGTAAGTACATATTTTTACCCTTTATAGGAAATAAAAATTGTTTTTCGTGACATGAAGATTTCAAAGTCACAACAAGCGTTAGGAAACAATTACTCTATCAGTTATCATAGATCGACTGATAGTGTAGTTGCACCAAACAGAAATTGGTGTCCAATGAAACAACGAAGGCGGATAAGAAAAACGCTGGTGAGTAGTTGAAAATATGTATTTTCTTTAAAGAAAGCTTGACATTTTTCGTTTATGCGTATTTTATGATTATTACAATAAAAAGAAAATAAAGTTTCAGGATAAAATTTCGCAATGCGTCTAACATTAAAATATATAAATTCATTCAATCTGCAATAACAAAAGCCTTAAGATTTTTCCATTACACTGTTTTTCTAACAAATTTAGGAGCATAAAAAAAATAAGTAAAGATAGGTATTCCACAGAAAAACAACGTGTCGTTTGTAAGTAATAATCTTATAACCAAAATTTTTTTTTTTTCGAGGAATTTAATTACAATAAAAATTGTATAAGATAATAAATTGGTTTCAACAATACGCTTTCAGTTTTATTTCGATTTTAAGTTATAAATACATATGATATGTACAATAAACACATTAAATACTATACTGCATGATACCAGTTTGAAATGTGTGTATAGGATTATCATAAATACTTTAAATGACTACTGGTTTATTGCGCCAAGTTTGTATGATTAATCAAATTATAATTAGATATAAAGATTGTATACGCAAATTGGTGAAGAAAGACTGTCTGTAAGTAGATTATGATCTTAATGACTCCTCCAGCGCTGTTTACCTGCTCCCGAGCTTCACGCTCCAAACTGCATGCAGTGCAAACCGATGACTACGAAAATTCAGGACCAACTGGGGGTGAGGGGCTACTTAAAATACTATTCGGAATTTATAACTTTGTGAGCGCAACTCGCACTCGTAGTTTCAGTCGCTTCCGACCGAACTTTGAAATCTTTTTCTTATTTAGAACTCTCTCTCTCTCTCCCTCCCCTCATGGAACGGCAAGTAGCGCGAAAATATAGTTTCGAAAGACGAGTCGGTCGTTGCTGCTAAATTTCTAGATTCTCGAGCAAAGGAAGATTCACGTACGTATATATATACACATTGGTACATCAAAAGAATATATACACACACACTTATACGTCAACAAGTCGGAAAAACCAATCTCCGAGGAATGTTTCGCCACGTCGCATTCAACGACTTCTGGTCGCTCCCGCATAACTCGGCAAGAAACTCCCTTGCAAGCTCTACACGTATATATGCATGCATGCGTGTGTCTGTGTACGTATGCATGGAACTGAGTTCGCAAAAGTCGTTTGCACTCCGTCACTGCAACATTCATGTATTGAACTAACAAGAAGTCGGTCATGAAATTCAAATATTATCGACTTGATGCTGACATTTTGATGAACCAGCCAAGTTTGATTTTTTTCTTTTTTTCTTGTGAATCACTCAAAAGATTTTTATTTAATCCATCTACGACTTTTCGCCAAACATTATGTTCAATGGTTTTGGTGAAAAGATGAAAAACTGTGTAACGTGCAACTGTGAAAAGAAACTTGTGAGGTTCAAGTGAACAAGTTATATCACGAGATATGAACAAAAATGCAGACGTACATTGACATTGGCTGTTTTAAGGCAACATAGCACGATTTTACAATAATATTTCTAAATAATTTTCTTTAAAAACCAATAGAGTACTTTTGGGTATTCCGCAATGAGTATTAACTTAAAAACTTTTGGAGAAATTTCAACAAAAATGTAGAGCATAGGCGCTTGATTGACTTTTGAATTGGTCTTGAAGAACCTTTATACGAAAAACAAAAGAGTATTTGACTTTTTCGATTTTACTTTATAAATATTATAATAAGAGATACAAAAAAGCAAAAAGAGAGATGTGGTGGTGATGGAAATAAATGAAACTTTCATAAATTCCACAAACTTTTCAAATGATCTCGAAAACTTTTAATGAGAATGTAGACTGGTTAATTCATTACAGCGTGGAAGGCTGATTTAATGAAGCAAGGAAATGTGGCCTGGTTTTTTTAATCGTAACATACATTGATAACCGCTTCGTTTTTTGCCGAAGCACCAAACTCTTGAATACTTTCGACAGTAAAATAATTTATTTTATACTACGGCAAAATAAATACTATGACGAAATTGTATGTACTAACTGGTCATGTCACATTTTGAGCTCGTGCTTTTGAACATCATATCCTACGGCGTATATTCGAGGTCCACATGTAATTGATTGAACACGCGTCTATTTGCATGGAAAATTGAAGGAAAACGCTAACTTGCTTTCCGCAGCGATGAATTGATTGCAAACCGTATAAAATTAATTGACAGTCTTCCGATCAATTAGCTTGTTTAATTACTTTGCCATCAAATTAGATGTATTTTTTCCCCCTTTTATTGTTCTCTCCTCGAAACTTCATTTGCATGATCGATGTATAGTAGCATAAATGCGAGCTGCCCAAATCGAATGACAATTTAGAAGGGTAATCGTTTACAGGCAATAAGCTTTGGTGCTGATCAAGTCAAATGGGCCTGTTTATGCATGCAAATCCAGCTGTTGTACATATATCGATTCGCCGTTCATTATGACATCGGATTTCCCTTTTATCCTAACCATTGACACTCATTTGAAAAACGTATGCATTTGTGAAATGATTACTTTTAGTTTATCATGTATTCACAAAATGAAAATTAATATGCCATGTAAATTAGATTTGATTTCCATTAGAGGATTAAAACGCTTGGATTTAAGGTGTATTTAATGTTTCAGAGTGATAATATAAACGTAATCAAACTGACATAGTTCAAAAAACATGGTCCATAAAATCACATAAGTCGAGAGACGACAAAAGTCGTCTGAGCATACGAGAGACTCTAGGGTACTACTCGTTATTTGATAATATACTTTTCTCGATTCTACATCAGTTCACGGAAAGCGTTAAACTTGTTTTTGAAATTTTTTTTCTGACCGCATATGTATACATTACTTTAAATCACAAATCAACTGTGCAAAAAAAGACTCGGACGGATTTTAAAATGGTATGAAAAATATTGATGAAAAATACCAACAAAAAGAAGGTAACGTACTCCAAGATTTTCAGAAAAAATCGTACCTCTGCTACGACTTGAAGCACATCGAATAAAATACAAGACTATTACTTTAAATGAAAAAAAAAAAAAAAAATGAGTAACTGAAAAATAATGAAACTTTAAACGCGTGCGTGACGAACCAAGCTATACTGGAAAGATGAGCAGTTCCCACTTGATGAGAAAGTCGTCTCTATTAGATCGCACGACTCCACCATCTCGTTATTGGATCTTCTTTCCCGTAGACGTTTTTTCCTCTCATTTGAGCAGCACCAAGACATTTTTTTTTGTTTTTCCCGTCGTATCGATGGTATGCGAGCTTCTACCAGTTGGAATCGTTAAATTCCATTTGACTGCTCGACTGTGCAAGGATCGTTTCTATATGGCTTGGGTGTCGTCATGTTCTGGAGCCTTGAAATTATTTGGTAATTTTTTTGGTGTAATTGAAAAAGCTCCGAGTGTGATAGTTGCACGTAGTTTGGTGAAAAGAGATTGTTGCATTGGCAAAAGATTTTATAAAAATTGTAAGAGGTTTTTTAATCCACAGGAAAAGAATCCTTTCTGTGTATGAGGATCATAAAGTTATCGACTCTTAATTTTTAAGGGAAAAGTGTCAACAATTTTGTAATTCTTCCTACAAAATTTGTAAATGCTTTCTATTGAAATTCATAGCAAAAATTTGTCTCTGAGAATAAAAGCTCTTTTTTTCTCATAACATCTGATTTAATCAAATTTTTTCTTTTCCACACTAGAGGATTCATAATTGCTTTATAGACTGATAGAATTAGACTTTTCAAAAAATTAATTCCTATAAGCGAATAAAAAATTGGATTAGCGAGATGAAAGTGGTAGAAATTGCTGCAACCAAAAACGAACCTCTGAATTTGTCAGCAAAGTGCCCAAAAAAAATGGTAAAAGTGCCAAAATCACCTAAATCGCGAATAAATCGAAAACAGTAATAGATGGAAAAAAAAGTTTAATACAAGAAAGATGCGCCTTTCGAAGCCACACAAAAGTAGCCTTGTTAAAATTAATTTCATTAAATAGTTTTCTTGCAAATTGCAAAAAACCGCAAATTTGGCCGTTTTTTGAAAAATTCATAACTCAGTCCCATTTGGATATAAAGAGCTGAAAATTTGATACAATGTTCCTTTCGTAGTCCTTAACATATGCTCAAAATTTTAAGATCATACAATTAATAGTTTTTGCAAACCGTCGTGTTGAAAAAAATGGTCCCTTCGAAAAATGGCTCTAAAAAAGTTTTGAGACCACACGGCCATTTTTCAAACGCGCTGCTCTTCGTCAAGAGTTAGTGTTCAACATGCTAAAATTTCATAATCCCATCTTGTTTAAAAGTACTGCTAAAATTGCATCTAAAAACAGTGATTTTCGCAGGAGGCCGTCGGTGGCGCGTGGTGAGGCGAGCCGCCGAAATAGGCCACGCCCACTCTCTCGCTGAGCGCTCGGCGCACTTTCGAGCGTGTATAGGTTTTCCGGAACTAATCATCAGAAATTGATGTTTTTTTTTAATCTGGGGTAGCTTTCAATAATATTGAGATTGCGCGTATTGACATATTAATAAAAATAATAATAGTCATGGAAAAATGGTACTTCTGAAAATTATTCTACTAGTTGTTGCATTATGAAACTTATTTCCTGTATGTACAAATTAATATTTTTATAAGTATTATAATAATGATAATAATAATAATGATTATTATTGTTATTTATTGCAATGCCGACAATAATTATGACATACATACAGTCAGGAAATGAAAATATGTAATATCTATTACAAAAGTACTAAAATTTGCAGAAAAGTGACTAGTGACCCAATCACTCGAAATATCTAGATTTCGTGCAACATGGTTGTAAGTGAGATGTGACCTTCGCAGTTGGATGGGATTGTTAAAAAGTGGACGAAAATCGGATAGCATACCGACTTTCACAAAAAAAAATGATGACGTCACGTGGTCAAGTGGTGAATGTTGATATTTTTGTAAAAATTTTTTGTGTATAAGTGGTATTGATAAAATTAATCCATATCAAAAACAATTTCAGAGACACTGCTGTTGTTTTCTGGATCACTGATTCCGAATATAACGTCAAAATTACAAAGTGTTACTCCCTCATTCCCTATTTGCCACCCCCAAGAATAAATTTACGCAAATTTAAAGTAATACTGAAGTTACGTATCATTTTCGTGGTTTTTTAAGTCACTTAGTCCGTGTTTAAAGTCAACCAGGCGACCGAAGACTATGAGCACGGCTCTACACCAGAGGCTTTGTGCAGAGACAGGGGTAGGTCAACACCGACACCATTACTTCTGTCATCAGGCGTATGAATGCTTCTGGCTCACATCATCCTACAGGACTTGGAGATGATAATAACCTCCAACGTTAGATCCGCTTTACTTTAAGGAGTGCTAAAGGAGAAGAATATAATGGAGGTTCCTAATAGAGTGGAAGTCTTCGCAGCAAACAATGCAAGTGAGGTGGGTTAACTCAATGGGTCACTGCGTGGATATAAACAGGCTCCTTACTGATGAAACAATAATTTCAAGGAATTTCTGGACATGTTTGAGTTCAAGGCGACTGGCACCGACGAATCTATTTTTGTAGGCTAGTAGTACAGGTATATTGTTTATCTAAAAAAACCGCATCATTCCTATTTTACATAAGACTCTGTAAGGTTACAATCAAAATTAATTCAAGACAAATTAAAATAAGAAAGTAGTTACACTAAGGAAGATTCTGTATTGATGTCACCACACAAATATTTAAATAATAAATGGACCCTTATAGATGATTATTGTTCAGTCAAATGTTATTACAGCTTATTATTCTTATAATAATGTTTGGATCAACAAAAAGTAGTAAAATAAAATGTAAGAGTTTGTTTTATACTCGCTATGAAATCTAGACTTGTCTTTCATACCAGCTTTTAAATAAAATTATCTTTAATTAGCCCCTAATTGCACCCCTGAAGCCCTTCGAAGCGTACATCATTTGATTTAAGCTCAATTTTGTTGGGCAGATAAAATGAAAAAAAAGGCAAAGCAGACAAGTCGAACAATGGAAAATGCGATTTCATTCTCCTTGTTCGTTGGCCCATGTATTTTCGAGCAACTTCTGAAACTGCCCACACTGAGTGTGTATCATCACCAATTGCTCGATTTATGTATGTAAGAAAAATCTTTATCAAATAGACCAAAAAAAAAAAAAAAAACATGTAGGTGTGTACAAGCCCACACACTTATGAAAAGTCGAATGATTAGTGCAGAAAGTTTAGTTTTCTAAAAGATCGGCATCCGGATTGTACGATACTTTGTAAAGTTATAATTAAAATTGATTCATGGTAAATTAAAACAACTAACAAAAAAATAGTTGTTGAACTAAAAACGATTCCATTTTACCGTCACCACACAAATATTTATAAGAAAAATGGATCTTTACAGATGACTATTGTTGAGTAAAAGGTTATTGCAGCTTATTATTTTCATTACAATTCATGTTAAGAACCATTACTAAACAACAAAAAGGAATGGAATGAAAAGTAGAAGTTTGTTTCATGCCAACTATGAAATCTAGACTATCCTTGAATTTTAGATTTTAAATAAAATTATCTCTAATTGTAACTAAAACATTATTTGTGTAGTAAGGTAAAATTATCAGTTTTCTCTGATTCATATAATATAATANTTCTCCTGTACCAAAAAAAAATTATTAGACTAGGATATATAATAATTTAGATGAAACAAAAAAAGAAGCGTGAAAAAATTTCGTACTTATGATCAGTAAAAACCTTTTTTTACCTTATTATTCAGTGTTTTCAATTTCATTCTGAACGAAATGACGCATTCAAAGCTGACAAATAACAAAAAAAAGAGAAATACTTTTGAAAACATATTTGCGATTTGTGTCACTTAAAGAATTGGACTGTACTTTGAGCTCGAGTCACTTGCTCTTTTTATAACAAAAACATGCTTCATATAATGAAGATTTTAAGAGTAATTGGCGAACCAATTTAGTGGGGGCAAGCTTCTTTTAACTATATATACATATATTTGATAAGAAACAGATACATACGTTCTATGATGTGTTTTTAATATGTACACTGTAAATAACTTAAACAATAAGATGATACTCACAATGGGGTTTTAATTAATTGGCGTATGAGCTTTTAGAATTTTTCTTCACTAAGAAAAAAATTTTACTGGGGTCTAATAAGTAGTGGTACGCATCTAAGACTTTTTGATCGTTACAAATAAGTTTTAATTATTTTCAGTACTTGTATATTTTATTATTCATTATTCACAGCATTTTCAGCAAAACTGTGTAAAATAGTAGAGGTTAATGTAATAAAAAATAATAAATAGCTTATCAATAGATAGAATTACATTGACAACTAAATGATTCCAGCTAGTATATGAAGCATAAGATTTATATTTTTATAATTTTTGGCTGGTATGCAAATATGCATACAAAGCTGTCTATTAAGGAAATTTTTAGTTTTTATAAAACAAACAACATTAACATACTTGTAAAAAAAACCATTTACATACTTGTGAAAGATTTTTATTTAAAGAAATAAATGTATTTTGGTTTACATTAATAAAATCTTGAAGTATAATGTTAAAATTATTTGTACATACATATGTGTAAGACTTTGAGTTTCCGCAAATTCTTTCAAGCTTCAAGATTCTAGAATCAGAATCTGTATAACACTACCGATAAAACTTTCCCCCATTGTAAAAGGTACAGTGTTCCGTTTTAAAAGATTTTTTTTGCTATTCCCTGTTCTGACCATGAATTTCTCAGTATACGATGCTCAAGTTCTATCCGAGCAACCACTTGTAAAAGGTTCATTTGCTATTCGATAAAAATCCCAGACAGAACCCGATTGGAAATTGAAAATTATCGACAGCTTGGCCCAAGTTAAGATGCCCAGTTAGCCAAGCTGGGGCCAAGTGTGTCCTTATAATAGGGCGCAGACTTGGGCGCAAGCTTCTGCCCAACCGTCACCTGATTTCGTCTGCTTTAAGTATGTATATATAGTTATACTCGCGATAAACCTTTTGCTCGTGAGTATACTTTTAAATGTCAGGTAAATCTTAATGAGAAACGCATTAACATATTTTGACCAAGTTTTTATTTATTTACTAAACTTTAAGAATAACTTTGGAAAAAATTAAAGCACAGGAAGGAGTGTACAACTAATAATTAAAATGCTTTTTAAACGTTCAACTCTGACACTTTCCCAATCTCTGGCAATATTAAAAACAATCTAAAACTGTGAATAAAGTCTCTTTTCCGATATTTCAGTAGAACCTGGACAAGAAATAAATTATTTGCCGAATAAAAAAATTATTATTTATCAACTTACACTACTTTAAGGAATTCGTCTTGCATTTATAATATTGATATGCATGTATAAGACTCACTGATTATATGATTCATACCAAGTTTCCCGATTTCCCCTTTTACAATTTTACATAGCATAAAACATGTGGTAGTGTGCGTAGAGCGTACATCTCAGTGTCTCACACAAATGTCACTAATACATTACACACACTGATGCACACACTGTCACACTGCTCTTGTAGGTCATACATATATGTATACTGTAGTACATATTGTGCAGACTAAATCAGGCGGTGGATGGGGAGAATCATGTGCCCAAGTCTGCGCCCCATTACAAGCCAACCTGTGCCCAAGCTGGGCTGCCTGTGTTGGTCCATACGTCTAACTTGGGCAGCCTGATAAAATTTCCAATCGGGAAGATGGTGAGATTTTTTGGACATGCACAAGTGTTCTATTGAATAATTTTTGGCAGAAAGGCAAATAAACGAGTTCAATTCCTCGAGTTTTTTCAATACCTAAAACAACCAAATTTTGTAAAGGGATTGGTCGCGTAAATTAAATTTGTATTAGCTGAACTGATCTTCCTCTGAAAATAATATATTCTTAAGATTTAAGATGTCCAATGTGATCAAATGCATTATGTCTTACATCAATAAGACCACGTTTTCAACAGATAATATATTTCGACGATAAATGAAGACAGTAGTGCAATTATTTGGAAGTCACAATTATTTTCATTATTCTTTAAAATACCCATAGTTTAATGTCGAATATACGCATGTGAGGCTTTGAATCATCGCAAAATCTCATCACTCTGTCCACAAACCTTGAGTTTTTATTTTATAATTATACTTGACCATAAATGATACTCGACAAAAATTAATTTGGCAGCAATTGAGAATTTTGTTTTTTAACTATCTCAGCTTTTAGGTTGCTATCCAAATCTCGATAAATTTTGAAAACGCTGTCGATAAAAGCATCGATCTGAACCTTCAACGCAACAATTTTCCCTTGAATATTCACTTGCTCTTCATCACTTTTACAGTCAAAATTTCTGTAGATTATTCGAATTTTATGAAAATCATCACTAATCTTCTTCTCTACCTCTAGTACAGATTCTAGTTGTACATTAATATTTTTAATAAACTTAAACTGCGAATATGGATGCTGATATTTGGATAATTTTTCAAGATCCAAATCTGCGTTCTTTTTCCACACATCGCAAAATGACAAAAATGTGTATTCACGGTCTGCCAGTGATTCCACCAATGTTTTTAGATCTTCTTTCTCCTGTACCAAAAAAAAATTATTAGACTAGGATATATAATAATTTAGATGAAACAAAAAAAGAAGCGTGAAAAAATTTCGTACTTATGATCAGTAAAAACCTTTTTTTACCTTATTATTCAGTGTTTTCAATTTCATTCTGAACGAAATGACGCATTCAAAGCTGACAAATAACAAAAAAAAGAGAAATACTTTTGAAAACATATTTGCGATTTGTGTCACTTAAAGAATTGGACTGTACTTTGAGCTCGAGTCACTTGCTCTTTTTATAACAAAAACATGCTTCATATAATGAAGATTTTAAGAGTAATTGGCGAACCAATTTAGTGGGGGCAAGCTTCTTTTAACTATATATACATATATTTGATAAGAAACAGATACATACGTTAACTATTAACTTTCAATTAGATGGTCATATTTACATGACATTAGATGTACTTTACTACCAATATTATTTATGCACTAAACCATACATACTCATATATTTGGGTGGTAACATCCATAGTAGATGGTAGGCACATTTTGAAACCACGGGAATGAGATATAACTGTAAAAGATAGACATACATTTTTAATGCATACGACCATTAACTGCGACATGCATGTTAATTTTCAATAAGGTTCTGTCAGCTATTGATACTTTCTATATACCCTTTCTTTGTCACATTGTGCAGATACCTATCACATCCTATTGTATTCATAACGTAGGGATAAAGGCTTTTTTGACTTCATCAACAATATTGAGATGTTCGTAGTTTTGTCAATCAAATTTATCTGGCTCAAAACACTAAAATATTACTGGCAGCCTCCAACTAAGATATGCAGTTTTCTAAATCTGAAAATTTAACGATCAAAGATGAGTCGTTGCAGCTGTTTTTCGACTTTATTTATTTCTGAGTAAAAAAAAAATTTTTTTTCTCAATATTTACAATTAATTAATAATAAGTAGATTTCACCCTGAACTGATCAATCTCAGTTTTTGATCAATATTTACTGAGCTCTCTCCTGGACTTTAAGGAATAATTTTATAAATTATAAGTCAACAATCCTGTACTAAGAGTATACAGTATATCAAGTCGTTAAAACTGCTTAAACATCTTCTACCTAGACTCAAATAAAGATACGCTGAAATTTATAAACTTTAGACTTTCTTGGTTAATCAGTTTATGTATAAGCTTTTATAGTATACAACACAGATATATTGTTCGTATAAAATATAATTGACTAATTATTGTTAGTAGAGGTCAAAGAAAAATTCTTAATTTACCCACTCACTAATAGACTGAATACTTAGCCTTATCGACATCTCACCGTGATGTGTAATAGAAATGAATGTAATAAAACTAATTTTAAGTTACTCCCAACTCAATAAAAATCGATACTGTAAATTTGGATGTGCGATAGGATTTTTTTTAAAGCACTTTTTATTTCATTTCTATTTTCAAAGTATCACTAAATATTATGACGTAATTAGAGAGAATGATCCTACTATAAGGCGTAAAGGTATAAGTTTTCAAGGGACACGAGATTAAAAAAAAATGGATTCAAAAAATAACAAATACCCTACTGTCACGTACGGTATCATTGCTACACGTACGTGCGCCCGCTTCTTCTTGAGTCTACTGACGACGATAAAAGCCTACGTAACACTACAGTGTGTATAAAGTATCTTTACAAATATGTCAGAAATTTTTTTTTAACTTTTGAAAGTCAATTATTTCCTTGGACAATTAGCTGGATCTGAAACTTGGAGCGGTTCTGAGTGAATATTTATGTAAAATCTTTGCTAAAAACTGTATCAGATATCATATGAAGTGGTCATACTTTAGTTTTGTGAAATTTGTATGAATTATATTATTGTTATTAACATCATATGTTGTTTTAGTAAAGTAACTTTCTTTTTGATACAAAAATTTTTTTATCTCTCAACCAATAAGAAGTAATACAGACTAGGCTAGCATGTTTTGCCACCTTCTTTTAGTTTCTATTTTTCATTTATAGGCTATTTTTCAATTTTTTTCAATTTCTCAAGACCGTTTTCTTAATGAAATTCTAAGAAAATATTGGTGAGGTTAATTTTCCCGAATACTAATTGTTCAGAAGGGCATGATATCAGAACAACATTATCAGAAAATAATAGTAACTCCAAGTTTAGTTACCTAATAATGAATACCGAACGTATAAAAGTGGGTACTTAAATATGTCCAACTCATATTTTAATAAGGGTGGTTTAAAATAATACTCCTAACAATAATAATATTTTACAGACGTTAAGTAATAATAAAGTTACTACTTATGAAAATAATAATAATTCATTATAAAAATACAAAATAAAAAACTAAGAGAATTCATTAGTTATACTATAAGTATTAGTGAACACGTTTTGATCATTTGAAAAAAATACGTCAATAATAGTACAAATATTATAAATATCGAATTCATAAGATCCCGAACGCAAAAAAATTCATAGTATATTATTACCATTTCACAATTACATTCGAAAGAAGCAGTGAATTTTAGAAAAACGAGTTCAAGTTATATAGAAAGGACTAATTTTGTAAACAAATTGTGCTGGTGGTTGGAGCTTAAAGGCTGTTTCCTTTTCCTCTTTACAGAAAGAAGTATATAATATAAGGCAGGTCTGCCCTGATACTATATTGTAGTCTTTCTTCAATTGTGCCAATAAAATAACATATCTTAATTAAAGTTACAAGAGAAATAAAAAATCTTAAGATGGCAGATTATTAGTGTCTAGTGACGTTTATTTTTTCTGCCTTTTAACCTACTAACATTACACGCACCACTTGATTTTGGATTCTCAGGTGGAAAAATAGTATACGAAACTCCTTACTGCTCTTGTCTTCGGCTTATGACATAAATCTCTTGGTTCGTCAATCAAAGCTTTCGTAAACTCGTAGGTAGTGTATCATTACAATTTTTGCATTTTAATAGAGAAAATTTCGTAATAAAGCAGAATAGTATACATGTGTTGGTAAAAGTGTCTGTCTATCTGTATTAGCTAATTAAAATTACTTTGAACGATTTCTATCAAATCTGTGTTTATTTTGAGGTTCCCATTACTACTAAATAACTTCCATGGTTACTAGCGCGAAAAAATCAACGTTCATGTGTAATGTGGCTGAGCAATATTTTGTTGTACTTTACTCTAATATCATCTAGCTTATTTTATTAAATAATAATAGGACATAAGAAGTGCAACATTAAATAAATTAAGATTATTAATAATTCTAAAAAAAAAGTAAGTAAGTACATACACATAGCTCGCATTACAGAGAATACTTGTCATATAAAAGTACTATTGAATATATGATACTATTGAATATATTGAAAATATGATGTACGAAGAAAAATGTGAATTTTAAAAATTCATAACAGACTTTCTTTGAACGAATGTGCGAATTGTACTTTTTTAGATTAGAATTATTTTTGCATTAATGATAATGTTTTAGATTATCGTATGGCTACTGATGTTACATTGACTCTATGAGAAACGTATGTACTTTTTTTCAAATCATTTCATGTTTTCATCTCCGCCAAACTAAATTTTGTAAATTCATTGGCCGTATGAATCTTACACTTGGATACGTTCTCTTATCATTCTTTGAGAACACATTTTTTTAAAGAGATTTAATGTAAATATTGTACCTTGTAAAAGGATATTTTTAGAGTATTAACTAAAATTCTTGCTATGTTTTAAGCTAGTAAAAAATCCTATGAATTGTATTTTCTTTTATAAAATTTTTTTAACTATAACTTATTACTTTGGA